CCGAGGAGCGGGAACCCTGATTTTTCACATCCCAGTCTAGGTGACATTGAATTGAGGCTATAAAAATAATCCAACATGAACAACATGCCACATGGATAGAAAAACGAAACCTATTTTTTTCAGTAACATTAAAGATTCAGATTTGTTCCTTTTGAAGCTTTCAGTGGACCATAAGAGTTCAAACCCAGTGTAATTCACAACCACCACATGTATGCCTCACTGGGGGGGGGGAATGGCACAATCCCTGAAGCCACCTCCTCCAGGATATGGTAGTGGGAAACACTCAGCCCTATTTATACCCACCTCAGAATATACCGGAATAAACACAGCATAACATGCAACACTGTTGCAACCTCAGAACTCGTCTGTCAGAAACCCAAATGATATATCATAGACCAACCCATAACCGAATAACTACAACTAGTCATTTCTCACGAGGACGACAATCACATTATCAATACCTCTAGCCCCGGCCTAACTGATTAATCAATGGATCCAACTATTGATAATAGTATGTTTCATTTTGACGATGCAGAATGTACCCGTGAGAGTTTTCTGTTTAGGAACCTTGAAAACACCTCTGTGATCCCCAAATATTATCTATTAATACTTTGTCTAGTAAAAGGCCTCCAAACAGTTCTCCTCTCTTGCCTCTAGGAGACTGATGGACCATGATATAATTTTCTGTAAGTCTTAGCTATGAAAGAGGGAACATGGCAGCACTTCTATTTTGAAGCTTTTCATAATTTTGAACACCTTTATCAGCTCCCCTCTCAATCAATCTCGTCTCCCACAGAAAAAAGCTCCAACCATGAAGTCATGAGGTAGTAGGTATTTGATATAGCGTTATCAAGACTTCTCAATGTGCTTCACACGATTTTAAATTGGCTACCGCATTCACCTAAAAATACAGTCACTGCACTTCACACAAAGTATTGTACACTCATACAAAATACAGTGACTGTATTTGTAAGCAAATGCAACATCCAAATTTTTGCGCAGCAGAAGCCCCAGAACAGCCATGTAGTGAATGACTAATTTTATCTAGGGGGTTATTGGCCAGGACTCCAGAAAAATCTCTATTGTCTTTTTGAATAGTGCTATAAAATTTTGTTACCTGACCAGGCAGATGGGTGATCAGTTTATTGACTCATCTGAAGAAATGCACCTCTGACAGTGCGCCCCCCCCACCCACCTCCCCGCCCCACCAACCCCCCGGTTCCCTCATCTTATCAGCTAGGAGTGTAAAATCAAATAACAAATTATATTTGATTTCACAAATGATAATAATTTTGCTGTAGACCAGCAAGACTAGAACACAAGAGGAAGCAAACGTTTGATATTTACACACGAAGCAGTCAAGTGCAGTCAAATACATCTGCTGAACACCATTTTGATATGATGTAGCTGTTGAAGCTGCTGTATCGAGCTTTTGTTCAAGGAGTTATTTGTGCGGTGGGATTGTCACTCGATTAAATTTAAAAAAGGAGCAGCACCTTGTCAATTTTTCCAACGTTTTAGCCAATTAAGTGACCTTCCCTCCCTCCGCAATCCCTTTCAGTTTACACCGTTCGATTCTGCCTGGTCTCAGGAGGAAAATTGATTTGTCTTCTCATGGGAATTCCAGCTTGTCATCAAATGCACTTTGTTCATGCTAAGATGGCATTTGATTGGCTTTTTTTAAAAAAAGAAGGCATCTGTGATATCTCAGCCGTTGATCAATGTGCTGTACACACAACACTCCCACAGCAAAGACACTTCAGCACACAAAATATAAAGCTTTAAGCTATCGCTGTCAGAAATCAAATCCCCGTCTTTATGGTGTTGCAATATATTTATTATCATTGAATCTCTTTTAAAACAGTTGCCTTTTACACCATTACTGAGAGTGAAACAAATTCTCTGAGATTCGAAGCTTAGTTTTGTGTTTTATTCAATTATTTATAGAATACTGTGAATTGGAAAAATCTCCCATATATGTGACTGGATGTTGATTGTGAGTGCCTTAGCACATTTCTCTGCTCATATTTTTATAATGTTTAGTATTGCGCATTTACTGAAAGTAATGTTTCTAGATGTTCTTTATATGTAAATGGTACCACAGGAATATGAGTTGTTATCTAGTGGGGATTATGTGGGCCTTGTCCAAAAAGATGAAAAGAACATTCAGTCCTTCAGGGAGGGGTTTATAAAAAGCACATACACAGTTTCTCACAGTAACCTTGAGTGGTGGTGGCCTGTACATATCCACACCACACAGATAATGCTGCTTGTTATAAATTGGAACAAGTAAATATCTGCATTCAAAATCAAGCTTAATCCAAACCTTGGGGAGGGAACAGAAAAAAAAGCCAATCCCCCAAATACTCGAGTATTTTGTTACCTAAGTGGCAACATAAAGATGCACTGCCTAGCGAAGCACACACACTACTTTTGATCAAGAGGAAATAACAGTTTTAGTTAACTTTTAACCCAGATTTGCCTTGAATTCAAAGGGAAGCCATTTGTTCATCCATTCTTGTAAAATCTACCCAAAGAAGTAATATTCTTGCATTCTCCTTCATTCTTGTGGGTTCAGTTTTAGTGAATTTGATTGGAGGTCAGTACAAAACTTCAGAGGCAGATCAATAAAAAGAACTGAATTAAGGAATCCTATATCAGACACTTCATTCACTGAATATTTTATCAGACTTTAGATTATATCTCTTGACAAAATAAGACTGGGAACATAAGGATAATTGCCCATGAGAAGAACTTCAGGGCACTTTCAGTGTTCTTCAGTAACCAAATTCTGAGCATTGTGTACTTAAATGCCAGGGCACTTAGTCAAAGCATTCCCTTTTGTTTATTTTCTGAAGTTCTTTCATGTTTTTCTTGCTGTACAAGGGGAATATGGAAATCACAGTGAGTATGTGGAAATCATTACCCCATAGGCTCATAGGTGAGGAATCAATTGGGATGTTTGAAAGGGTGAAAAATAATTTGAAAATATGATTATTAAGGGATGTGGAGAAAAGGTGGGCAAGAGGGATTAAAAGTTCTGCCAGGTTCTAGTAAAATGGTGAACAAGTTTGATCTGAATAAATGGTCTCTTCCTGTTCTGACATGGTAACTAAAAAGTAAGTGGGCTCTCCTTGGTGCTGAACTGGCTCCAAGCTAACATGCCTGGCAATGGGATGTTTGGGCGGCTCGACTCTTGTTAACCCTGCAAGCCAAACCCCTAATGGATAGAGTGGTCCTAACTGGACAAGCAGCAGGAAAGCTTGCCGGACTGCAATATAAATGGCAGGCTATGTGGTTTTAGCTGGCTAGACTCCAGCTGTACCCCAACACACACTCTGGGGTCCCCAAGTTTTGACTCTTGCTAACCTGTGCCGAATACTTTCCAGAATTAGGTAAGCAAGATGCGTCCCTCCAGAGAGAGAGTGTGCACATTATTCCAACAATCTATCTCTGGGATTTCCATGTGTAGGTGGAGATGCATGGAAATCTCAGCTTGGTTTGGATACTCTTAAGCATGGTGATGGGTTTCTGCATGTGTCAGACCAAACAGTTGGTCCAGCTGACCAAAATAAAGCTGGCACTGGGCTCCCTTAGATGGGAAAGTGTTCTATTTCCTAGCACAATGAACAGAAATTTCGCCAAACAGCAACAAATTACATTTGTGCAGCACCTTTCACATCAGGAGAAAACTCATCATTCACAATACACTTTCCAAGTATCATTATCCGATTTTTTAAATGAAAGAGAATAATGGATATTCAAGAGCGACAGAATGACTGACTGAAACCTGATCCAAAGCTACATAATTTACAGGGAGAGATTCACGATCTTTGTAACTGTTGTCTGAATCCCATTGGAAGTTTACTACTTGGGCACCTTCCCTCATATCCATTATTTTTAATAATGCATTATCTACCGTGAAGCTAGTTACTGCAGATCTATTTTACTTACACTTTTTTTTTGCTAATGTTGGATAGCACAGTGGATGTAAACATCCAGGGAATGCACATATTGGATGTACAATAGTGTTTCTACTGAAGGAATAGATTCACTCACAGGTAGTTGATTGATATTGTGGAAGAGCCCAGTCAATGGGTTTTAAACTGAAGATAAACAATAGCTGGGCGTTTGTTAGAATTTGTCCAGGATATAAGACAAGTGACACAGAACTCAGGATTAACATTTGACTGTGGGTTTAGAGGGTGTTAATCATGTTTTATTACAATTTTGCTCATAATTTAGTGCTGCCTTTGTTGCTCTATTTGTCGCCTTACTTTCCTTTCAGATGGACTTTAAAGCTCAGATCCCGTCTGTCTGCCATCTACTATACGTTAAAGATCACATAGTACTTTTCAAAAAGAGAAAGATCTTTTTCCTCCGGTGTCCTGGCCAACAATAAGTCAAAGCCCTATACATTACAATACTGTATTACAATCACACTGTAAGTTTGAGAGATTTCAACTCCTGTTAAGTTCCAACACTCTTATAAAACAAGTAAGGCAAATAAAAAGGGTAGAAAAGTGTAAACAAAATATAGGTAAATTAAACATGCTTCAAATGATTGCAGTTATTAATTGAAGCGTGGGTAGAGTTACAAATCATGTTTATAAAAAAAGTGCAACCATTGCAGAAAACAGTCATAAAGAAAATAATTTTATTGATCGTTATGTAGCACTGTTCATAACTGAGTGGATTTTCTGTGAATGAATCTTACTGGCCATAATTAGTTATCATACGTTTATAACATTTATAGAAATTACAACATTAAAGTTCATTAGCCAATCAAGCCTATGGCAGTGCTAACTCATCCGTGGAGATATTCACTTAATCCAAATTTCCTGCTCTTTTCCTGTAGCTTTTGAATAAACTATTGTGGCTTTACCTCAATCATTACTTGTCCCAGTTCTATTAATCATGTTGTATTTCCCAGTTTTGTCCAACTCTGGACATTTCTTTTCTGAACTGATGCCTTGGTGGTGGCTTTCTTCTCTCCCCAGGAGAAGTGGTGGACAGCAATCCCTGCAGAGAAGCTATCTACCCTATTCCTATCGCCTGCCAGGTCCCATGCCCAAGAGACTGTGTCCTCAGCAAGTGGTCTGAATGGGCATCGTGTTCATACACCTGCTCTGGCAAAACCACCGAGGGAAAACAGATGCGTGCCCGCTCCATTCTGGCCTACTCAGGTGAAGGTAAGGTCAGCGGTCAGTGAAACGGTTCAGCCTTCTCACTTTATTAAAGAAAAGAGCAATGAATTTAGAACCTTTAACATGATTAAAGCAGTGACTTAACATCATCCTTGTATCCTCAATTACTTTGCTTCTTAGGAGATATATATGGGTTCCCTTGAGGCAAGCTCCCGTCTGTAATAAGGAATGCCTCTCCAGGGCCATAAACAAATATATAGTCATTGCTGTCCTCAGTGTTACAAGGATTCATTAGCTTCATGTCTGTCATGTCATGCACTGCCTTTAAATATACTGACATGTCAGAGGGGCACTGTAAAAGCAGTGGTGAGTGATTCCACTGCCGTGTTCTCCTGTCGAAACTCATGCTGTCTACTTGGTGGTGATATATCTGTTCCACAAGAGTCTGTTCAGTTACTATCTGAAGGCAGCAGAGCATGTCATGATATCAGTGGTCATACCTCATTGTCCCTTGGCTGTGTTTAATGTTTCATCGTCCACTGTGACTGTTTCAGCAAACAATATGTAGCTACATAAATTCAAAAACATACAGGCAAGTTTAACTTCAGGACACGTCATTAGACTGACTGCAGCCACATAATAAAAACAGCCGCATGAAGTATGCATGCTAAATTTTTTTTNACAAGGAGTCATTGCTTCCTTGCCCATGAATACAAAATGAATTTGTAAGGGTGTCAGGCTGACTCAGTTGGTAGCACTCTCACCTATGAGTTGTGAGCCAATGTTGGGACTTTAAATTCACAATGTATAGGCAATCAAACACAAAAATTGGTATTTTTCATTAGAAGGGTAATTAAACATGTTAGGTGTGAGGCTTTATGTCAGTCACTCCAATGGACTCCCAACAATATGCACTTCATTGCACTTTTTTTATTATAAGCAAAAAATAAACAAATGTGTCAACACGGAACATTCCAAATGCTTTGTTTCCTCCCCCACTAACATATGAGCACACATTTGCTTGTGCACATATACGCATGCACACTCACTATTTATAATTCTTTTGCGAATATTGTGACTCACAAAGTCACAATAGTCGCAAAAGAATTAAGAATAGTGAATCTTGCAGCTGACTAGATGTGTCTCTCTGAAGCCCTGCTCTGACCCTGATCTCAATTTCAATTTATGGATTGTGATCAAAGGAGGTGAGCAGCAGGAGTTATCAACCGAGTAGAGTTCAAGATTATACTCTCCCTTCTCTTCCCCCTCTCCCTGCTTGGCATCCGACTCTGTCTTTGTAAAGCGCTCCAAGACGTTATCCTACTTGGAAGCTGTTTTTTTAGATACACTTTCCCCAGTATAGCAATTGGTGTCTTTACAACATGATTAACAAGTCATAATGGCCATTGAGTGATTAAATTAAATGCTCCAGTGATTCAGGGCCTGGTTTGTTTTCTTGCCAATAAGAAAAGGTCTTCACTAAGCTGCTGTCACAAAGAAATACAACCTCTTATCCATAGTGAAGATTGGTTGGGGTCAAATTATGCTTAAGATTTCATCGTAGAAAATTTCATGTCATTGTGCAACCCATATACTAGAGATAACACAGACAAATGGCATATTATTTTTGCTGACAAATATGCTGTCACTAACTTCACAGAAACTTTGTGAAGCGCTTTGAGATGTTCTGGATGCTAGAGGTGCTATGTCAAATGTAAGAATTATGATTTTTCAAGTTGAATGCATTTCGGAGATGAGAAGTGCTCCTCAGGGCACCTCACCATCAGGTAAAGATTCTTGGAGCTTAAACTGTGCATGAAGGAGGGAGCCCAAGTTATATCATTCCATCTCATGAGCCCTCAGCTGCATGGAGATTTCATGTCAGACCTGAGATCTTGTGCATCAGTGACACACATGGGGTTCTTTGTTAAAGGTGCAGTTTATGCGATGGTGAGCTTTTTCCAGGAGAGAGATAGCTGTAACATTACTACTGTCCAGTCAAGGGATTTTTCTACCCATTGATTATCGTGTTTTCAGAGGCCCAATATTATCTCAGCGTAAGAAGTCTCAGGAGTCTTCTGCAGACTGACTCATTCTGTTACTAATTCTTGTGCTCTGCTTTGCAGGTGGAGTTCAGTGCCCGAACAGCAGTGCCTTGCAGGAAGTGCGTAGCTGTAATGAGCATCCGTGCACTGTCTATCACTGGCAGAACGGTCCTTGGGGCCCCTGTATCGAGGATTCATCTGTGTCTACTCTTAATTCCACCACCAGCTGGAGCAGAGAGGCAACCTGTGCTGTGGGAATGCAAACTAGAAAGGTCATTTGCGTGAGAGTCAACGTGGGACAAGTTGGACCAAAAAAGTAAAGGCTGAGTAATTGTTCAATCAGACTGGAATAATATTTGCTAATTGAAGTCATGTCTGGAAGCATCCGAGTCAGGTGTTTACATGGCAATGATAAAATTATAATTGGCCCTGAGATCCAGTTTCAAAAAGTTTTCCAGGTGTTGGCATGCTATCACTCAGAATTGTCTTTAATTTATTGCACTCTTAAATTGTGCAATTTCTCAATGGATTCTTTTTAAAACAAAATCCTGTCAGAATTCCTATTGACCTGTGGGTATTCTCGTCTGGACCAGAGTTGGTCCTGTTGGTTGCAATGAGGTACTTCTGGCCACCAGGAGGAGTTTCATTTGTATGTCTCAGATCCTATTGCAGTGGGACATTGCAGTGTGCCCGCAAAATACACACATCCACTCCACATTATATGGAGTAAAATGTATGAAGCACTCTGAGAGATCTTGGTGATGTGATAAAGCACTATGTCAAATGCAGTAATTATTAATATTAAGAAAGTCAATAAGTCACCCCAAGCTAAGTGGTTTTAGCTGGTTAGACTCCAGCAATATCCCACCGCACACCCTGGGGACTGCAAGCCTTGGCTCTTGCCAACTTCAGCCTAATACGTTCCAAAATTAGATAAGCAGGACGTACATACCATTCCAACAATCTGTCTCTGAAAATTCTATATGCAGGTGGGATACGTGGAATTCTCAGTATGGTTTTGATACTCTTAAGCGGTGGTATTGGTTTCTACGTATGTTAGACACCTGGCTGACCAAACAATAGTGTAGTAACTGCAATTGTAGTCAAACACAGCAGCCAATATACACATGGCAATGCCCCACAAATAGCCATTAAGTGAATGGCCAATTTTATCTAAAGGATTTTTGGCCTAATGAATAGGAGAGAAATTTCCTTCTCTTTTCAAATAGTACTGTTGGATCTTTAACTGACAGAAGAAAACATCAGTTTACTATCTCAAAACATCAGTTTACCATCTCATCTGTGCCTTTTGTCACCTCCCCCTTCTCCCCTAGTGGGGTTTAAACCCGCCACTGTACAGCACTCTGGAATACTATCCTGAGTGAATACAACTTCACCTACAAATAAAACCACTGCCCTTCAGAGTAATTCCTGTGAAGCGCTTTGCATCATATCAACAACAACAACAAAATTACATTTATAGAGTGCCTTTCATGACGGGAGGACGTCCCAAGGCACTATCAACAATGTGATAAGGTGGTACATCAAATAGAAGGATTATTATTATTATAAGAAAAAATGTTTTAGAAGACACTATATAGGGCCTATAATTTACAATACAGAAAAAAACTTATTTCAAATTTAAAAAAAATATGCATACAGCTGGTTCTGAAAAAGAGACTAGGAGAGATATGCTGCCATCTAGTGGATGATAGTTAATGCCAGTGATAGTTTTGAAACACCGCAAACTTTACCCTATTAGGTGAAAATATTTTGACACCAACAATCACATGGAAAGAGAGAGAAAAACCTGACTTATTTTTTACCTTGTGGTCATAGGACTGTGCTTTAATAAGGATACCTGAGAGAACTGAGTTGCTGGATCAGAACCCACATGTGGTCACTCAAAGTTCATGTTAATACCGTTCGTGCAGACTTATTCCTTTAATGAGTCTGTTGCATTGCGCTTTTAAGACTGATTTACACCTCATTAAGTAGGTTATTGAGAATCATAATGAAGAAAGTCAGAAATGCAAACTGAGATTATTAAATCTGTTTTTGTCGAGATGATTGGGAGACTGTGAGTCTTTCCCTTGAGTATTGTTTTATTAATCTTAAATTATAGGCATTCTTGAAAAATACATGAGGGACAGACCACTATAGTTTTTTTTTCCCCTCTCATTTTATTTTCCTCAGCTTTTTTACCAAGAAAAAAATGATCTTTTCCCTCAGTCCTTCCTCTGGTCCTAATTAGAGAAGTTATGATGTGATGTGTTCTGACAGTTCAGTAATTTAATCCAAATCATTAAATCTAAAAGGATTATTTATTCATAATCGCCCTATTTCAGAAAGTAGTTCTTTTTCATGCAAAATTAACCCTTTGTTTTAAGTGTAGCTCAATTGTTCTGGATACTTGCAGGTTTGCCGAATCTAATGTTACCAACATATTGGGTAAAATTTCACCTGGGTGAGAGTGGGCAGGTTGGTAGGGACTCAGGAGGTCAGAGAGGTAGGAGGGGGAAAGGCCATGGATGGCCTTGAAAAGTGAGGACGAGGATCTTGAATTTGATCCTCTGGGGGTTGGGGAGCCAGTGGAGTCGGGCGAGGGTGGGGGTGATGGGGTTGCGGAGCCTGGTGCGCGAGAGTACACGATCTGCAGAGTTTTGGATGATCTGCAGCCTGTGAAGGGAAGAGTTGGGAAGGCTGGTGAGGAGGGAGTTCCCGTAGTCGAGCCTTGATGTGAAGAATGCGTGGGTGAGAATTTTGGCAGCCTGAGGGTGAGGCAGTGGCAGAGTCTGGCAATGTTGCTTTAAATTTTATAAATCCCCCACAGAAAGAAAGATTCACTTCAACAGATAAAAGTGAATTCCGATTTCAGTTTCATCTTCCACTCATGCAATGAATTTTTTCTTAAAATCTTTTTAGCATTTTGTTTTCTGTTACATTTCTGCTTGTTTATCTGCTAATAAATCGGAACCGATAAAACAAAAATCACTAATTAGTTAAAGGTTAATACGGATTTGCAGATTGTTTCATTTATGTGAAAGAGGTCTTAATTACAATTATTCATTGTTAATAATATTCCCTATATTTGGTATAGCGCCTTTCACTTTGGGAGGACATCTCAAAGTGCTTTTGTACTGCATTGACTGTATTTTATAGACAATTACAGCAGCCCATATGCACACATCAATGTCCCATAAACAGCCACAGTGAATGATCCATTTTATTGGGGGATTGTTGTCTACTAAATTGGGAGAAATTCCCTTCTCTAGTAGTGCCAATTGGACTTTTAAGTCCACTTCCAGGCTATCCTTCCTCACCAAGGTGCTGAAGAGACAGAAGGGATCTTGGTCTATCATCTCATCCAAAAGATGGCACCTCCTTTCAGCAATGCAGTGCACCCACAGCACTGCATTGTGAGTTACGTAGAAGAGGTATTAAAGGATATGGTGAAAAGTGCGAGGAATTGGAATTAAAAGATCTGCCAAAATCTAATAAACTGGTGGAACAGACTTAATGGGTTGAAAGGACTCCTCATGTTCCTATTTGTCTATGTTCCTATGTATATTATTATTATTATATAGTTGGCAATTGTTCACAGGATAGTTTAACATCTCATCCAAAGGAAGGCAATTCCAACAATCAACACATCCCCAGCACTGTATTGGAGTTTTAGCCAAGATTATATGAGTTCAAAGTCTTGACATGGGGTTTGGACCCATGCCCTTCTGGCTCAGAGAATGCTACAACTGAGCCAGGCTGACATGTTCATTTATTGGCTAACATTCATATGGAAAAACAAACTAGTCATCCATTGCTGAGTGAAGGATTTGCACCAAATGGGGCTGAAATGATACCAGGAAAATCTTACAGAGATACTGCAGCTTTTTCATAAAGATGTAATGACCTTTAATCTTCACAAGGGTCTCACAGATCAGAGATTGTTAAACAAAAACGCTGAAAGGTCAGATTATTCAGAAAGAAGAAGTCCAAATTTATCTTGATCCAGCAATATTGCCCAGGACAATTTTTTAAAATATCATAGCAGATTAAATACTAAGCACAGAACAGTAAAGGCTAGGCTGCTTGAACTCTCCTGATAAATGGGGATTATCATTGTATGATAAAATCAATAAAAAGCACCACAGGGCTTATTGAGCGTCACTCTTCTCTGTTGCAGAACACTTTACCTCATATCACTTGATTTCAACCTGACCTTGAGCATACTGAAAAAAATCAATAGTCTCCTCTGGAGCATCGAAACAAACATTGGCTGAGATTGTGCCTGCACATTTGTACTGATAGATAAACTTGATTGTAGTGGTTCCATCAAGTGTCACACAAAACTGGTTCAATGGTTCATTATTCAGTGTTTCTAAGATTTAATTCCTTTTGAAAATATTTACTAAATGTATAAAATACCACAACAGTTTTGCAATGTCAAACAACTGGCGATGCACGTTTTCACACTGGACCCTTCTAAACTCTTCAGCTATCACTCCATTTTCGAGCTGTCCTTCCTCTCTAAGGTGTTGGAACAAATCACCTCCCAACTTTGCCCCTTCATCTCCCATTCACCACCACCTGTATGAGTCCTTCCAATCAGGATTCCGCCCCTCATACAGCGCTGAGACAGTCCTGGTCAAAGTTACAATTGATATTCTCACTGTGATCAGAGCTCCCTGTGTCTTCTTTTTCTCTTTGAGCCCCCTACTATTTTTAAAACCGTTTACCACTCCTTTCGTTTCCACTGTCTCTCCTCCCTGGTATATGTTCACTGGTCTGCACTTTCCTAGTTTCACTCCTTTCTGTTCCAGCGTCTTCACCTCACCTAACGGCTTTGCCTTCTGCCTGCACAGCATTATTACCTAGACAGTCAATCTGAATCTGTTGACTGCATGCATTGAGTGTTAGTACAATAAAGCTCACTATAAACTGATCTTTTATTCCAGAAACAGTGACTGAAAGTTTGTGTTCGGTAATTTGTACTGAGTAAATGGACTGTCTATTTGAAGGACTGTTAATTCTTCATCTAGCACAAAATAGCATTTCATGTCAAATCGTTTCCAGTTCAGTGCTTGAACAAAAATGGTAAATGGAAAATATTCAAGAATGTGTTTAGTTCATTTGTGAATTCCAGCAAGAATGGGTTGAGAGACAACACAAACCACCCTGTTCACTGTGCACATGGGCCTCATAGAGAACAGCCATGTGAAGATCTAACAACTTTCGGCTGGCAGGACAAAGACTTTTCTCTCCTGCTGACATGATTACAATGAGCTCATATGCTCTGCTTGTCATGGTATATTTTCCTTCAGTCATTCGTTATAGGTATTGTGTGCCATTGATATTCACTTATTGTTGTTTGAAGGAACTATGATGTTTCCGAAATCAATCTGACAAGATTGCAACTCCTGTTTGTAAACATTGGTGTACACAATTTCATTATTGGGTTGCAATTGCATTACTGCATTACCTTATGCACTGATCAAGAGACTATTATAATGAATCATTCAAAATGCGGAATTGATAATAAAAGAATAAAAGGACTAGAAGGAACTTTGAATTACAGCAAAAAAAATTCCAAAGTTATAAGACAGGAACCCTTACAATCCTTCGAGCTGAGTTTATTCGAGTGTCAGGCTGGCTCAGTCGGTAGCACTCTCGCCAGTGTCAGAAGGTTCAAGCCCCAGATCTGGACTTGGAACTAATATGGTCTAAGCGGACCCTCCAATGCAATGCACTCTATTATTGGAGGTGCCATCCTTCAGATGAGATGTTAATAATAATAATAATTCTTGCATTGATACAGTGCTTTGTCATGTAGTTGAGTGTATTTTTGTGGTCGAAATGTGGCAGCCAATTGCACACAGTTGTTTCCCACAAACAGTTGTGCATTGAGTGATCAATTTTTTTTCCAAGAGATTATTACTCCCAGAGGGTGATCTGGAGCAGAGATTCTGTGGGTTCATGGAAATTCTAACAAGATGCCTTAATGTGAAATCCGGTCATGAAATACAACAAATTAGACTCTTTTCCAACCATAAAATTATCTCTGCAGTACAATTGTTCATGCATTAATAAGTTATGGCAGACTGCCACACACTAAATCTGCTCCTGTGCTCTGCTTCATGTGTTGAGTTAAGAAGCAGTCATTAATTACCTCTGGAATTTCTTCCCTCTCCCCTTTGGTCAGATCAGTTTACTTTTGGGAAAATATACCGCTCTATGATAATCACATTATGATTTATCGTATTATCTCTTGCTTCTCTAAGTAACTATATATTTGTTCATCTTGGGTTAGAATTCAAGACTGTTCAGAATTATTAGTTCATTACCGTTATCATGATCTTTTTCTCATATTTCTTTGGCGATCTCTCCTTTTGTTATATCTTCCCCTTTGACAGTTGTTGCATACTCCCTTAGCAATAAAGCTACTTGCTAGCCAGTTTCATAGAGTACCACTTAAGGAGAAGCACCAAAGAATATAGCAGTGTAAAATGTGATATTTCAGAACAGATTTGATAATTATCACATCAAATCTGTTCTGAAATGTCATATTCTCATGCCATACACTACACCTCCTCCTTGTATGCTTTGGGCTATCCAGCCAAACTGAGCAGTTCCAAAGTAAGATGAAAGGCATCAAAATGCACATTGTTTAGCTTAAAGACACTAAAACAAATGAATCATGATTTGGCTGAGAGGATGCTTCAGCATGAGAACCTGAGCAATGATAAGAATGAGCATGGAAGAAAGAGAGAGAGAGAAAGAGAGAGGCAGCCAATACAATTCTTGCATGGTTCTTTGATTTCATTTATTTGCAAGTTTAATTCAGAACAAGAACTAATCCTTTTTTGAGAGTGAAGTGCACTTGGTGTGCAGTAGTTGGATAATCACGTTCTGTGCTTCAAAAGAATAGCCCCAGGTGTGTTCTTTGAAGATACAATGGATGTATTTTAGTTTAGAGAGAATAATACTATGAGGGGAAATAACTTAATATGTTTGTGAAATATTAAGTAAAGGGTAGGAAATTAAGCAGTTTGTGTCCGCAGTACATATACTCAACCTGACGCTAAGCCATACGCTAAATTCTCTTTTGAAAGGTATGGCGCTTGGAAAAATATATATGTTAGTCTGCAGTTATGTTTCTCAGTTTTTGAAAATATTTAAGAACACATGTAAAAACGTCATAATTAATATGGTCAACTTCACTTCAAAATATTGATATATTAATATGCAGAATAACTAATGAAGAAATGCAACTATTTTTTCTCTTCAGGTGTCCAGAAAGTCTGCGACCAGATACAGTGAGACCCTGTCTTCTACCGTGCAGAAAAGACTGCATTGTGACACCGTATAGTGATTGGACACCTTGTCCTTCATCATGTGAAGAAGGTAAAGTTCTTGAGCAATGTCAAGTCTGGAACATCAATAGTGTACGAGTATCCAGGTTTTGCATGGAAATAGGGGACATAGACCAAAAGTGACCAGTTTATTAAGTTATGGAGTGCGTTGTCCAGATTAAGGTACTTTACGGTGAACAATCTAATGTGCATTTATGATGATTATTATACCATATTTTTAATCCCCTCAATCAGTGTTTCCTATTAAATATCAAAGTGTTGGAATATGTTTATCAATAGAACCATTGATAAGAATATGTTGGTTGGCAAGGGAAGCATCATGGGGACTCTGGGATGGAGTTTCAAAGAGTTGGGCAGATTACGCTGAAAGCCTGACCTCCGATGGTGGATGGAACAAGGGACATGAAGTAGGGTAGGGTTTGAGGAGGTTGCAGATCATGGAGGAATTCAAAGGTTAGGACAAGAATCTTGAGCTTGAAAGAAGAGTGTAATGGTTTTAATTGAAATAAATTTTGGAGAATTTTAAATTGGAGAATTAAATCTGGAGAATTTTTAATTCTCCAGATTTAATTCTCAATTATCTCAATTAATTAAAATTGCTCAACTTGAAGAACAAATTTTATTCTGTGTGTGTTTTTTATTTATATTGTGTGGCAGTAGTGGTGTTCAGCAAATTGGATTACTAAAATTGCAATCCACAATATTGTACGTATAAAACCAAGCTGTTTATGGACTTCCTCTAGTATTTATTGGAGTGATGTAATAAACGTTTATGGTTTGTTCTGATTTTAAAGTATAGCAGTTCCATTGTCTGCAATGTTTTATTCATGTGTAAAAGAAATTTAACTCTTAAATCATTCTCTTGATTTCCTCTTTGATCATTCTCTGAGCTGTATATTTGAATGGATCATTGGCTTCCGTGTTCTGGATGAAGCATGCATACAGTATAGCTGTCATTATAGCATTTATTATTGCTCACTAAGCACATTCAACTTTGGGGTGTAAAATGTGGTGACTTCAAACAGGATTCTTTGATTCAGGAATTTCAAGTAGAAGCTCCTTCTACTGTCACCACTAATGTTAAAAGTGATAAAGAATAGCATTGCTCAGAACTCACACCTTCATCAGCTCAAATGTCAGTCTTCAGTAGAAAGCCCTCACCCAGAGGTACGTCACAAACCCTCCAGAAGCAGATTTTGGTAGGGGGAGTTCCTGCCAATCGACATGAAGTACTTCTGAATTCCACAATAAAGGAATCCTTGTTGCAAAGGTTGTATTTGACTCCATTGTTTGACTTTGTAGACTTATATTCAAAGAGTTGGTAGCCTTTTCCAGGTTTTGCATGGCATATTTCATGGTTCCAGAGCTATTAATATTTGCATGTAACTAAAGCTGTATGAATATCATTTCCTATTACATATAAACTGGATTTGCTTTCTTATCCATACTTAAGATTGGCTTCCCTTCAGACCTGATTCGTTTATCCTAACTATAAGTTGGACCATAGTGGTATTCTGAAACTCACAACTATTTTGACCCGTTTGGTATTGTAGACTTTGACCACTTCCTTCAGCCTCTTTTATACTTTACTTCTTTCTTCCTTCTTTCCACTTTCACTTTTTTTCTACCTGAAAATGATTCAAGAATTTGGTCTTTGGGAAAAATTTGTGAGTGACACCATTTCATGGATATCTTATATGAACAACTGAAATGTTGTGGCCACTTATGGAAATTGCCAGGATTGGAGGAAATGCTGACAAAGCCAGGTAGGGATAAGCATTTGGATGTTTCAGTTTGAGATTTAGATTTGATGTTGCTGAAATTCAGATCATCCAAATCTAACTTCAAACATAACACTATGTGGGAGGGGTTGCATTTATTTACAGTGCATGAGGAAAGCCAAGGATAGAGTCCCTGTAGACCACCAAGGATACATATCCTTTGGATTAGAACTACAAAAAGAACAGATGAAACACAACAGCAACAAATTACTTTTGTAAAGCATCTTTCACGTCGTCAAATACATGCACAACTACTCATCCTCCATTCAGACAACCTCAGAAATGAATACAGTGTACCAACACGGAAGCTGAAAAGCCGATGTACAAAGGCAATAGAAATCATATTATATATTATAATATTATAATACATTATACTAATACAACAACAACAACAACAACAAGATTCCATTTATAGAGCGCCTTTCACGTCAGGAGGACGTCCCAAGGCGCTGCACAGTTGGGTCATGACCCGAGTAGGGGGGAAATGGTCAGGGTGAGGGGAGGGAAGGGAGGGAGAGAGGAGGGGGAAATGGTCAGGGTGAGGGGAGGGAAGGGAGGGAGCGAGGAGGAGGAAGAGAGTCGAGAGGGGAGCTGAAGGCACGGTCAAAGAGAAAGGTTTTGAGACCGGCCTTGAAGGAGGAAAGGGAGGAAGCAAGGCGAAGGCACTGGGGGATGGAGTTCCAGAGCCTCGGGGCTGAGAGGCTGAAGGCCCGACCACCGATAGTAGGGCGGTTGGGGCGGGGGACGTGGAGCAGACCGGAGCCAGAGGAACGGAGGGTACGGGCAGGTAGGTAGGGGGATAGTAGGTTGGAGAGGTAGGAGGGAGCAAGGCCGTGAATGGCCTTGTAGGTGAGGATGAGGATCTTGAAATCAATCCTCTGGGGGATGGGGAGCCAGTGGAGGCGAGCGAGGGTAGGATTGATGTGGTCCCGAAGCCTGGTGCGGGACAGTACACGAGCTGCGGAGTTCTGAATGACCTGCAGCTTGTGGAGGGAGGTGGCGGGAAGGCCGGCGAGGAGAGAGTTCCCATAGTCCAGCCTTGAGGTGACAAAGGCGTGAACCAGGGTTTCAGCAGCGTGAGGGGTGAGGTAGTGCCGTAATCTGGCGATATTCCGGAGTAATAATCCGGATTAATAATAATCCTTGCATTTGATGCAGCATGTTATGACGTCTTCAAGACGTCCCAAAGTGCTTCACATAATAATAATAATAATCCTTGCATTTGATATAGCGCTTTTCACATCGGGAGGACGTCCCAAAGCGCTTCACGGAACACACTGTAAAGTGAATTGACTGTATATTTGTGGGCGAACGCAGCAGCCAATTACATATAGCAGTGTCCCACAAACACTTATGGATTGAGTGACCAAATTATTATATTTTTTGAAGGGATTATTACTCCTGGAAAAGCAATCCACCAATCGACTAACAACCGGGTTCCTATTTACTGCAATGTAAGCAGAGGAGTGTAGAGTAAGTAAACTTGCCCAATGTTTTGTCCTGCCCAGGAATCAAACCCAGGTCCTATGTTTGAGAGACAAGTGCTCCAACCATTAAACTACAGGACTCCATAAATAGTTTCACAAGATGAAAATATATTTATAAAGCACCTCTGTGCTTTATCAATATACCTGCAGACAGCACAACTCACAGAAAATCATAGAGGCAACCAAAATATCTTTGGACTTCTTACCATCATGAAGAAATCCCTTGTGTGCACAAATGTTTCGGTCCATATGCATGGCATGATTTTTCAGAACTGTATTTTTCAGTCTGATGTTTTTTCCCCTAATGTAATTCTTTGAATCCAGTCGATCAGGATTTATTTCAGAACTCAACCTCATGCAACATTAGAGTTCCTGAGCTGGATGCAAGATTTCACTCCGATATTTTGATTATGATGCTGAGTGAATTACTTTGTAGTACTGTTAATACCATTTCTGTTTTTACAGGTACTATATCTGATGAAAAAAGAGGTAAAATGTGAATCTGCCAATAAATTGTCTCACCACTTTCTATACTGCATTGAGTCTAAAACATGGTCACTAAATTTCATGGTGTTTCCTCCCTCCCAGGTGACAATGCTGTAGCAAAGAAATCTCAGCATCGAGTCATCATCCAGTTTCCAGCAAATGGAGGGCATGATTGTCCTGACACACTCTTGGAGGAGAAGGAGTGTGAGATCACTCATGTCTGCATTAATTACAGGTAAACATTTCTATTGAATGGGACACAACAGGCAGAATCTAACCAATGCAAGATCACAAGCTTCGTAATCCATGCAAAATATAGATGTCATATGTCGTATTCCTAAAATTTCAAAATTATTTGGGCAAAATAAGAGAAGAGAAAAGGTTATGGGAGGAAGTAAGGAGTGGGTGGAAACTCGTGTGGAGTATAAACCCTGGCACGGAACTATTTGGGCAGAATGGCCTGTTTTCGTGCTGTACAGGCTGTGTAAAATCTATGTAAATACATTTTCTGAGCTTCCTCAATCCCCTAAATACAGAGGCCATCACTAGCAGGAACATTCAATATCTGGTGCTGAGTAAACCAAAATGTTTCTGCTGTTCCTCAGCGCTATCCAGTGGCCTTTGACTCAAGTTACACATTTATAAATCTCAGGTGAGGATACAGTTAGTTTCAACTGTGTTGATTCCTGCATGATTGGGCAGCCTGTCTACTGTATTGTCATATTTGTGAAACATCATCAGCTTACTGTTTCTAATACAATTATCCTCCAGTCACTACTTTCACTATTCTATCTGCGTTAAGAAGTTATCTGTATCTGACGCCTATGTGAATATTTAGTATGCTGATACAAAATAAGGATAAGGGGAGAAAATTGGATTAAAAATAGCTGCTTTTTTATTTAAAGGATAATATTAGATTAATTCTCTCTTTTGTGATGTGGTTACGCTATTCTCTATCATGTAAAATTAAGATACAATGCGCTCACACTTTTCTATCTGCTTTAAGAGTTCACAGAGCTACTCAAACATGTTTTAAGGTTAATTTTGCTTCCACTTGGTTCTACGTTTTTACAGTTTATATTTGGGCAACCGGGAGTCTGACATGCACAGAAACCACTTGCAGTGCTTAAGAGTCTCAAGCTCCAGCTACTGAGAACTGATAGAAGCAGAGGTCCTGTTTGCTAGTTCTGGGGGGGTGGGGGAAACAATGGGTTTCTAAGATAACACAAACACACACACACACATAATGCTTGTTTATGCTCTGAGAACAGAGATTTGCATTGGCAGAAGCCAAGGCAATGTGGAAAACAAAATGCACAATAGGGGTATTGCTGAAGGTAAAGCAGACAAATTGTGCATCTTATAGTATAGGACAGAGCATAGGTAACCATTCTACTACATGTCCAGAGACAATCAACAGCCATTAAGATGTTGGATTTCAGGTTATCAAGGGAATCTCATTACCTCCACTCCCCCTCCAGTAATAATGGGACTTTTTTTTCTGTATTAAAAATAAACTTACTTAGCATCAGATGCTTACAAATCCTTAGGCCTCTTGTATTTTATTATTCTGTCCCACATTTGAAGCAATCTGTGAATTTTGTGATGTGCTCTGCGAGGTTATTTGTACCTGACACCCTTGTGAACATTTGATGTGCTGATGGAAAAACATGCTAGAAAGAGATTTGAATCGGATTATGAATATTTATTTGCCACAAGTTGATATAGTGGAGCTATGTGTACAAGGGCAAAGGGCATTCATTATGAGGTGCCAATATGCTACTAAAGAATAAAATTCGGCCTCCCAAAATCCTAGGTTTGGAATGCAAGAGAGCAGGTTAGGTTTGTCTGGTGGTGAATGTTTATTCCTCTATTTCCAACCCTGAATTAGGCCCTCAAATGTTTCCATTGGTATATGTAATGTGCCCTTGGGTTTCTCCTCAAGGGTTAGAGCATTAAATGCTAATTAGCTACATGTCTTACAATGCCTGTGATTTTTAAAACGGGTATTGTAAGCCATATAGAGCAGGGTGAAAACTAAGGGAAGTTTTCTTACTCCACACTCTTCTGTTTACCTAGCAGTAAGTTGGAACCTGTTTCTAGTCGATTGGTGGCTAACTTTCTGGGGGAAATAATCTTTCAAAATAAGTAAATAATTTGGTCACTGAATCCACAACTGTCTGTGGGACACTGCTGTGTGTAATTGGCTACCACATTTCTCCCACAAAATATACAATCAATTTGCTTTACAATATATTTTGTGGAGAGCTTTGAGATGTCTTGATGACATGATAAGGTGCTATATCCAATACAAGGATTATTATGATTATTATTATGCTAATTTAAAACTTCCGTTATCTGCCTCAAATTGCTAAAAGAAAAAGTGAAAACATTGGGAAAAGCTTATATGCTTCCTGACCTTTTTGTTACACTTAGTGTTTGCCATCGTGACCAGCATTCTTCTCTCAGGTCATTCCTCAGCTGAGAAAAGGCTCAAAAAGTCCATCAAAAGGTCAGGATGAAATTGTCGGACTTCAGGATTATGATATTTTCATGATTACGTTTATGAATTTGTTCACAAATTATACAGTTTCAGGCACAAGCAACAGATCGTAATTAGTGCCGCAACATCTACCTAATTTTAGATCCTACAGCCCATCGCAGGGTTTTAGATAATACTTTTAGATAATAAAGGAAAACTACCAACAATTACATACAATTGCACAGAATTATATGGCATGGACATAAGCTATTCGACCCAACTAGTCTGTGCCTGTGCTTGTACTTCGCACAAGCCTCCAAACTCTTGCAAATCTTCTCTCCCATACACATCTATTCCCTTATCCCTCATGTATATATCATCTTTCCTCTTAAATGCACTGATGATTTTTGCTTCCACCACAGATTCCAGCAGTGAGTTCCACATACTTGCTGTGTAAACAGTCTCCTCCATGTTTTAGATAACTACAACAACAACGACAATAACTTGTATTTATATCGTGCCCTTCACATGGGTAGCTGACTATCATATTTATGCTGCTTCGTTTTGGGCTCACCAACAAATGGAAACAGCTTATCAAGGCTCACTTTATCAAATCCTTTCATGATCTTAAATGCCACTATCAGATCCCCTCTGAATCATTTTACCTTTAAAAAGAAAAACTGCGACACTCTCCGTTTTGTCCCACTCTCCGTTTAGTTCCATTCCCTTTGCCTTGTTGTAATTCATTTGGGTGCTACCTGAAATGCTCTGTCGTTTCAGATCAAATTGGAGGCAATGTACTAAATAATTGACTATATTAAATGTGTTAAAGATAAATTCTCAAGGCTTAAAGCTGTGCTCTTTCTAATACAGATGGAAAACACACAAATGGCGCCGGTGTCAATTAGTGCCGTGGTACATTCGCCAAGACAGCCCTGGAGCGCATGAAACATGTGGACCAGGACTGCAGACCAGAGGTTAGTTTACTGATTTTAATGGACGTCTTGTTGCAAATGGTGTTGACGCTTTGCACAGAGATTATCGGGTAAATTGACAAATGTGTGGCAATGTAACGGCGTGAATTTATGAACTCCAGGGAATAGACTGTGATTGCCAGCCTCAAGTTGCTTGTTAACTATTACACTGAAAGTAGTAAAGATGAGCAAATGAGTCGAGGTTCAACATGTCCATTGATCCCATTGCCAGAAGGGGCTATAAATCCCTCCACTCCACCTTTGTTAGAAACCCCTGAACTGTAGCAATGACAATACTAGATCAGGATTAATGCAATATAAAGGGAAAACAGTCTCTTAGCTCAGTATTTGGTATCAAAATCAATCATAATTTTTAGACTTAACTGTAGGATCTGTTAAATAATTGGATAGAAAAAACAATAAAAAATGCTTCTTTAATTATGTTAGTTTGATGGCATTTACTTCTCCAGAGCTCAGACTGTGAATTTGAATCTCTCACACCAGAACTCAAGCTCATATTGTACTCTGCCTCAAGTATTGAGGGAGCACTGCATTGCTGAAGGTGCTATCTGACAAATGAGGAAACTTTAAACCTGGTGGAGGTCAGAGACCCCAAAGCATTATGTCAAAGAAACACAGAGAGCTCTTATCCTTGGGTGCTGGCCAACATTGCTCCTTCATCAAAAACAATCATACAAAAATAAGTTAACTTATTTATTCATCTCACTGCTGTTTGTGAGATGTTGCTGCCGCAGATTAGCCCCTGTGTTTGCCTACAAACAGCAGTCATTTCAAGCTTCAATACCAATTCTATGTGTGAAGGATTTTGAGATGTTTTCATGTAAAAACGGTAAAATATTGCTTCATTCCTACTGTTTAAAATGAAGGAAGTCATTCCGCAAAAGAAAGGCACTAAAATCAGATGGCAGCTGCCTTGTCAAAGTATAATCTTGAGACGTCTGGGTGTGTGTAAAAAAATAAAAATTCACAGCAAAATAAACATCTAAGGAGATATTAGCAAGTACATCTGTTGCATATTTAATAGACCCAAATCGTAATGTTGTTCACATACATTGTAAATTCACAGGAAGACGTTACATAGGCTGCCAAACCTGCTGTGTTTCCGATGTGACAAATCTTTTTTTAAATTGCAGTGGGACTTTGATGACAGGCATCTGCATATTTGCTGCTAACATAATTCAGCTGTGAACAGAGAATTTCAATGCACCAACACATTTCCACTGTGTAGAGTTCTCGATCCGACTACAGCACTTAAATTTAAAATCTTAATCCAAGCATAAAAATTATTCTTGAGTTTTAAATACGGCCCAAAAGGCACTGACAAGCGTCACTGGAGGCGTTTAGTACATTTCAGAATTTTGGGGAGATAAAGTGTGTTCTCTAAATTTATTTCATCTTTTTTCCATTCCATCCCTCGAAGCAGTAATTCAGGTTGAGGCAAAGATACACACAAATCAACCATGCTTAGGGTCCACCCGTGTCGCTATTCTACACAAGTGAGTCTGCACCAAGCCTTGGTCGGCTATAATAATAATTATTCTAATATTATATTAATATTATAATAATAAAAATCCTTGCATTTGATACAGCAACTTATCATGCCATTGAGACATCTCAATGCACTTCACAGATTATATTATAAAGATGGATTAACTGCGTATTTTCTGGGGAAAATGCGGAAGCCAATTGCACACAGCTGTGTCCCACAAACAGTTATGGATTTATTTATTTTTTGAAGGGATTATTACACCCGGAAAGTGATCGCCTATCTACCAAAATATTTTAGAAGATAAGACCTACCTCTTTGAATGTGTTTTCTGTCATCTTTCTCCTCCCCACTCTCCTTCGGCTGAAAATATAAATGTAAATTGTATTGCAAATTGTAATTTGGATATTATACAGAGGAATAAATAATCCTTGCATTTGATATAGCACATTATCACGTCTTCGAGACATCTCAAAGCGCTTCACACAATGTACTGTAAAGTGAATTGACTGTATTTTGTGAGCGAAATGCTGGATCCAATTACACACTGCAGTATCCCACAAACAGTCGTGGATTGAGTGACCAAATTATTATTTTGGGGGGAGGGATTATTAACCCTGGAAAAGCGATCTGCCAATTGACTAACAACTGGGTTCCTACTTACTGCTAGTTTAACAGAGGCTTGTGGAGTAAGGAAACATATGGAAGTACTTCACAGAATTTTTACTGTAAAGTGCAATGAATATTTTTGAGGCAAATTGAAATATGATAATTTAGTATCTTAATGGAGTATCATAACTGAGCCCAATATTGCCCTCAACAATATCCATAGAGATGCACTTCAAATAGGACGCACTGAATAGTGATTTAGATCAGACAGACTGGCTGATTTTCCTCTCCCGAGCTTGAGAGCACAAAGGCAAATAGTTGCGCCTCACAATCATTCTAATTTGAATCAACTAACTCAGCACAGAACAGCGATTGAACTAAACCTATAACCTTGTGGCTCTATCTCACTCAGCGCCACACCACATGGTACGTGCAACCCACTGAACCATCAACAAAGGGTAAATCCTGTTTCACAGTTTTTGGTTTGATTGGATAATTAGGGTGGATGCACTGTAAGGATTTGGGAGTAGGAAGCTTTGATTTGGAATTGATAAAAATCCTAATACAGCTTAAATTTTCATGTCAAACTAGCTGTGCATTGTCCAACTCCCAGTGTGGAACAAGAATAGAATTAATAATGGCAGCTAATGAGCAGAATATAAAAAAATCCTACAGAAATTGATTTACTGACATTGCCTTATGCAGTGGTGGTCATTTCAATGTTACAGCGCAGCAATCATTATAGAGGTCCATTTATGAGCACATGATATGATCAGTTATCCTCCAAAGCAGGCATATAATTAACCAAACGTTCACATGAGAAATCAGGAACAAGCAGAGTCACTTCCAAACTTCACAATCTGCTTCACAGTCTGTGAGAAACTGTAACATTCTACATGCAGTAAAGTTATGTAAAAGTCTGATACTGCCTGAGGAAATAAACCCAATTTTTAGTATTTCCATTTTGTTCGCAGAACAAACAAATTCATCTTGGATGTGAGGGGCAATGTTCTCTGTGAGGGTGTAAGCCCTATTTTTTTTTCATTTTCCCCTGAAAATTTGCTTCCTGTGCAATTTTAGGCAGGGATTGAGTTTTACAGCCTGGTTTCCAGCAGTGTAAATCCCCTCAGTTCAACAAATCATTTATACAACAGTTTGCTTTAAACATTGCAGTAATCTCTTTGTGTGACTCACCCTGTGATTGATTAAGGGCAAGCTTTGCAATCTAAATCAACTCGATTGAATTGGAAAGGGAAAAAGTTGATGGGATTGTGTAAATACTTATCAATGCTTCAGAACACAGTCAGTACAGCAATCAAAACACACAATTGATACATTTTATTACACTTTTTCATTTCCTGCAGTAATAAAAAGAAATCTTATGGCATCAGAATGCAAATTCAAATATATAGTTGATATTATAACAACAACATTTCAATGGAGCTCTCCAAATTTTAGAACATAGGAATGGAGGCAACTATTCAACCCATCAAATAATTATACAGTCACTGCATTTCATTAAAAATTTTGTAAAATGCTTTGAGACATTTCAATGATGTAATTAGCTATTATACCAAATGCAAGGATTATTATTTATTTTTATTGCTAAACTTGTTCTGACAGTTTAAGGTCACGGTGGATCCTTTAATCCCCACCTTTTTTCTGTACTACTTAATACATATATATACTGTGCAAATATTTATCTTCCTTCCTCTTAAATACCCCCAATTGATTCTGCCTCAACAGTTTTCTGGGACAGTGCAGTCCATATATTCACAACCTTCTGTTTTCTTACTGCAGCAATGTATTCCTAATCCCACTTTCTCATGGGTAAAAGAGCAGCTCAGTGTAGCACTAAATCCATTTAGACCAAATGTTCGTCCATTTTGCTTGTTGTCTGGCTCAGACAAGAGAGCAGGTGGATTCAATGTCCTTGGGTTAGGAACGGAAAATGAACCATGTCTTCCACACCTGCCTGATCACCAACCAGGGGCAGTTGTGTTATGTGTGGATGTTGGATAAGAACAGGGTGCACTCAGCTGTAATACTTTGCAAGACCAAATAATCTGCTAGTTCTGGGTAGAAGTTTACCCCAGTTGTAGATTTCAAGGGGTGATTTTGGTCACATTGGGGATTTATTAGATAAAATACCTGAGACCTATGAGCAACAATTAGATAAGATAGGGTTCTTCAGTCTTGAAAGGAGTCGATTCAGAGGAGACTTCATCAGAAGTGCATAACATGTTAAATGTGACCAGAAAGGTAAATCTAGATCAATACTTTAGAATGCAACATTACAAATGAACAAGAGGTCATGTGTTTAGAGTTGCAAATGCAATTTCAGTACTGATACCAGGAAGTGTTTTCTTTACATGGAGGGTAATCAACAATTGCAACAGGTTTTCAAGAAGGGTGGTTGAGACTAGGATACTGGACTCATCTAAAAAGCAGCTTGATGTAGTGATGGGGCAGTAGTGATGGGACAGTAGGTTGGGTGTTCAAGAGGCATGAGATCGGATGGACCATAGGGCCTTCTTCATCCAGAAGATTTTTGTGAGCTGTACCTTTGCAGAGGCACGTCTTCTGTATGGGAAACATGGGAGAGATACATGTAGCCAGTAAAACCTGTGAAGAGGTGAAAAATGATTGAGTTGTTCACAGAACATTGTTAAATATGTTCAGCAAAGAGACAGTTTTGAAAGGTGTGACACAGATTCCCTGATCCCAGACGTATTCCTGTAGAAAGATGCCATGTGGAAAGGTGGGAAAATCCAGATGGTGAGTTTTCACTAGGCAATTTCTGCAGAGTTGCTCGCAGTCAGCCAAGAGCAATAGCAGGGATCTGAGAACATTGAAGAGAAAGAAAACATCACTGGGCCATCGTTTAAATTTCAATTACACATTCATCTTCTAAATAATTCATTTTTTCATAAACTTTGGCAGTAAATCCACACCACTTAAGCAAGCTAGCCGATTTGTTTAATTAAGGAACAGCATCTAAGGCATTTGTAAGCAAGACTGTCCAGCATTAAGAGAAGCTACACTTGGTAGGGATGGGAAAGTAACTATAAAACTTGTATTTATATCGCGCCCTCTCATGTAGGGCAGTGTCCCTTGAAAAAGCAGGTGGAAAATGTAAGAAGTAAAGTTACAAAAAAAACAGCAAATATCTTCAATTAACATAAACAGACAAATAGACCTCATTGCACAAATGTTCCCATTTGATGGTTTAGAACTTAGTGAAGTTGAAAGAGACGTCTGTCCTGCTTGGGGTGTAGAGTCATGCAAGGTCTTCTTAGAGCTGAGCTGGCTCCAGTAGTCTGTTGTCTAAGCCAAGTGAGCTACTTAAGGGCACTGCTGCTAATAGAACTGCCAGCCTGGGTCATCAGTAATCCTTGGAGAAGCAGACTAGTCACTGGAGGCAGGGATTCTTCCCACTCAGCTCCTGTTAACCTTGCAAGCTCAAGCTATTATGGCTATAATGGTGATATTAGCTACACAAACAGTGGGAAGCTTGCCAGATACTGTTTTCAATGGCAAGCTATGCAGTTTTAGCTGGCTAAACTGAAACACTACCTCTATACACATTTGGTGATCTCCAAGCCTTGGTTCCTGCCAACCTGTACCTAACACTCTGTGGAATTAGGTAAGTAGTGTGTTTCTCTCCATGGAGAAAGCACATTTTATTCCAGACACTCAGCTGATCAAAATGGTTTCAGGTCACTTAGTTTGAAGCAGCAATAAACAGGACACGCTTTATTGGGATTTATTGGCTTTATTGGTAAATCAGTTGAGTTCAAATCCACAAACGTCAAGCTCTATAGTGTTCTAGTAGCAGACTGTACAGTTCTAGTCTCCACAACATAAGGGGGCTGCCCAGGCTTTAGAGAAAGTGAGCATTGTAGCTAATCCCTATTGTTCAGTGGATCAACTAATCAGAGGTTTTTCATGCCTTGAAACAAGAAGTCTGAGAGGCAAGGTATACAGAGTATATAAAATGATAAACACTTGCTCGGCAAGAAAGAGGATCTGGAATCAATTCCTGATGGGGCGAAAGGTTAGGGAAGTTTCCTTGCTCCACACGCCTGTTTATCTAGCAGTAAGTAGGAACTCGGTTAGTCGATTGGTAGATCGCTTTTCCAGGGTTAATACTCCCTTCAAAAAATAAATTAATTAAAACATAATAATAATTTGGTCACTTAATCCACGATTGCTGTGTGCAATTGGCTGTTGCGTTTCACCCACAGAATATACAGAGTTCACTTTGCAGTGTATTCTGTGGGGCGCTTTTGGGACATCTTGAAGACATGATAAGGCGTAGCTGTGTCGAATACAAGGATTATTATTATATTCCTGTTTTCTATGCTTTGTCATGTTATCTAACAAATATTGAACTCAGATAAAATATATAAAATGATAAATTGGATTGACAAAGTAAACCCTTACAATAGTTTCAAGGACACAGACACATAATTATCAGTTAGCAACCTGATTACAGTTCAGACCAATTCTCGTGGTGTGGAGATATTGAATCCTGTTACGTATTTTTTTCTTGCAGAGATTAATAGGAATCTGGAATGCAATACCCCAGAAAGCCATAGCTGAAAAATCAGCTGAATGATTCAGTGATAATAACCCTTGCATTTGATATAACGCCATGCACACCGGAAGGACACCTAAAATTTCACATTATGTGCTGCGAAGTGTAGCGACTCCATATTTCGTAGGCAAATGCGAAAGCCAATTTTGCGAACAACAATGTCCCACAAATGGCCATAAAGTGAATGGCCAATTTTATTTGGGAAATTGTGGGCCAGGGCACCTGGAAAAAATCGCTTCTCTTTTCATGGGACATCTTAACAAGCAGATCAGACCTTGGGTTAACAAAGGAGGGCATCTCTGACACTGCAGCTCACCCCCAATACTGATTTGGAGTGTCAGCCTGAATCCACATTTAAGAGAGATGGATTGATACTTTGTTACAAAAAGGGGAAAATTTCAGGAAGTCAGGGTGGTAGAATTAAGGAAAGTTTGTAGTACTTGGGATATGGATGATCTGTAGCAGAGCAGGCTGAATGCCCTTCACCTGTTCCATTTTCCATTATTCCCATTTGTTCCTTTATTTTTTCTTCTGTCTTTCAGCGATTTCTTGTCGCAAGCAAGACGGTGGTCAAGTGGACATTAATGATTGTCTCCAGTGGGCTGGCACCATGCCACCCTTAACTCAGTTTTGCCAGTTACCATGCCAGGATGACTGTCAGTTCACCAGCTGGTCCCGATTTTCCCCCTGCAATGGAGATTGTGGCACTGTACGTACCAGAAGGCGGTCACTAGTGGGTGAGTACAACTAAGTTCAAAGATCATAGAAAGATCATGCTTTAATCTATAGGTATTTTAAACAAAATTTCCAGGTTTTTTCCTACGTGTTTAATTATTGTGGTCATTAGTCAATATGTTAACTGTAACATAATGGAATGCAAAAGGAATGCACTGGTCTCCAGCTTTGCAGGTAATTTCAACTTAAGTTTATTTTCCTAACTATTCTATTTCTTTATCAACTGCTAGGGAAAAGTAAGAAGAGAGAAAAGTGCAAGAACACTCAGATCTTCCCTCTTATCGAGACCCAGTTCTGCCCATGTGACAAGTATTCAGCCCAACCCTTCAGCAACTTTTCTGACTGCATTCTGCCAGAAGGTCGAGTGGAGAGCCTGCTTGGCATGAAAGTACAAGGGGATATCAAGGAGTGCGGACAAGGATATCGCTATCAACCGGTGGCTTGCCGGGATCAGAATAATAGACTGGTGAAATTGGGGCATTGCAATAGTCACGGTAAGTCATTTTGTTATCCTTCCAATACATACAGGTAAAATTATATATGATACATTGCTGTGTGCAATGAAATAAAGCCAGTATTACTGCAGTTTGAATTATGTGGGACAGTAGCAGTCGTCAGTTTGAAACAGGCTTCTCTCCAGCTTCAAACAATAAGGAGTAATTGAAGATGAACACACAAGACACAGCACAGAGTTTCATGGATAGACATCTCAGGAACCAGATGATGTTTATGGAGGATGGCCAGCTTTGTAAAGCCGCAAAGAATATTTTCTTCCTTTCATTTGGCAAGATTAATTTGGTTCAGTTGGCTCAGCTGCCTCTGGAACAGAAGGCCATGGGTGTGAGCCCCACAGTTTGGTTGAGCTCAGTGCAGCGCTACTTTGTTAGAAACCCTGTACTTCAGATAAGACGTTTAACTTGTCCCGCCTGCAAATCATTGGGAATTGTTAGCTTTGTGCACAATCTACATGATCAATATCAAATGTTCTGCCAAACTATGATTCAACAAAGGGTAAAAATTGTGACGTGGAATGTGTTAATCATCTTGGGTGATAATTATCACATGGTTCACATTGCAGTCAATACATTCAATAACCAAAGGCTGCTCTGTGGTTTGATCCCCCCACCCCAACCTAATCCCACTGGTCTTTCAGCATAACAATTGCTGTGACTGTAGGATACCAACTTTAGACCTGAATTCCTGCCCAGTCTTAGCCTGCATTTGATCATGTTGTCTTAAAATTTATGATCATGTGGAAATTTAGAAACCCATTTGTTTCACTGTTCCAAATTAAGACTGAATTTAAGAATTTTTTCACATTTCTGCACAATCTCAAATTTTAAGCCAAAGTGGTTTTACAGAATAGACGAGATGGTATTTGGGGTTTCCGGTCCCTCACCAGCCACAGCCTGATTGTCAGACACACTGGATGAATGTGTAATGGCTGCTTTGGGTGAGTTTGACCCAACCATTGTCACACTTTGTAATTTTTGCAGTTTTTGCCATAACTGAAGCATACCAATCCGAAGAGGTCAAGCTTTCTCTGCAGAGATGCAATTCACACTATAGAAAACCGTGAATATGTGATGCGAGCAACATTTGTAAAGAGGTGTGAGCCATTTTGTAAGGCACACGTACAATATATGCACAATTAGACAAACCTTAGAGAGGCTCCAAGCTCACCAAAACGGTCCGAAATGCAATCAAATTTCATCTCCACCATCGGTAGCACCAGTTGATCCACGCTTCGACCATAACCCATATACTGTGACAGTCGCACAGAGAAACCGTGGATTACATCCTGGAGCTGTCTCCGTGACAACCCCTAACTATACATTATACTTCCTACCAGACAGTGTATAAACCTACCAGGATGTGCTGCAGATGCCAGGTTATACAGCCTAACGCAAGTTAGCATTGGTGAAGACATTGATTGCAATAGACTTGCGATGTCTAGCAGGGCTGCTGCACCTGGCTCAGTAATGATTAACATTTCTTATTATAGCAATTCGTTATCACCTATCAAAATAAAAAGGGCACATTTAAGAAGAGGGAGATTTTATGAATCATCACCTCAAAATGTTAAAATGCCTGATCCAGCAAGATGTGAGTTCATACAATAATAATCATAATAATCCTTACATTTGATTTTGTCCTTTCACAACAGGAGGACTTCTCACAGGATTTTATTGTAAAGTGTAGTGACTGTATTTAACATGGTTCAGCATATAAGATTCAACTTTTCAAGCGTTCAATTTAGTTTCTCCTTCCATTTATTTCCACTGCTTAAGTGCCCATGTGTGGCTGAAGGATTGATTATTATTTTCTACGTTCAAAAAAAACAAAATCACACATTATGTTTGAAAGAGTTCTAACCCCCACGGAGCCAGGCTGCAAAGTCTGAAGTGAGGGAAGCTAAGCCGTCATATTTTTAATGGATTGTATGATATGCTGCTGTCCGTCTGTACCCTGAATGAATAAATTGAATGAAATTGCAGACAATCGTCCCTTTAGAGACAGTTATAACAATAATACAAGTTTATCTTCATGTAATTTAATATCCTGCTGCCTGCTGAGAACCATGCTCGGTGTCAGAAAAACCATGTGATGAGAACAAAAGAATTGTTGCTTAAATAAAAGAATGTCTTCAAATTACAGAGCTGAGTCCAGCAAACACAATTAAGTAGGAGAGAAGAAACAGATTAAACAGGGGCAAAAGTGAAAGAGAATAGTGGTAAATAAAACTGAGGAAATCGAGATAAAGAAATAGGATTCTCCCTGTATCCTGTCTAATATTTCTCCCTCATCCAAATTCACAAAAAGAGTGTAATTATATTCAACAATGCGATATAAATTACTATTCATCATACAATGCAATTTGCATTTATACATTTGATGTCAGGAGGACTTTCAAAGCACTTAACAATGCTGGCTATGTACCTGAGCTGGGGGTGGGAAGGGGAAAGATGACCAAGTGGGGCCAAAGCGGTACATCTCAAGAGGGGCCTTGATCATGGGGAGGGAAGGAATGAATCAGAGGGGCTCCAGAATGGAGTTCCAGAGAATAGGAGCAGACTGGCTGAAAGCGTACGCTGAATCCTGGACCTATGAAAGGGCATTCAGCAGTGAAAAGAAATGGAAGGAAAATCTAATTTGAATACCACTCATTCCTCAAGGTGTGAGAATAATTTTAGCCTGGAAATTGTTGAATCCTGGGTGCTCAACCAAGTTATATTTCCCACCATAGTAGTTATTAAACACTTAAATAGGGGATTACTAAAGTACAAGATTATTAACAACAATAAAAAACGCAAGTTACATAATAATTAATCAAATGTGCTGATGTGCACCCCTCCCCCCCAAGAAAAACACACAGGGCTTTTAATGCCAATGTCCTGAAGCTAGGTCACACAATTCTCTTGTGGGCTGGTGGATCATAGCTTTTGACTCCAGATTTGCAGGATCATGGTTTCACTCTGTGGTTTAGTAACGGGGTCATGTGTTGCATATGTAAAGCAGCTGGGAGGTGACAGAAGTTGTCCTTATCCATAACAACAACAATTTACTCTTACATAACACTTGTCATGTAGGGAGAACATCTCAAATGCTTTACAAAGACATAGTGGAAGCTTGATCTGGTAGGTAGAAGGAGGCGCCTGAAGCTGGGCTTTTGGCATTGGAGAGGAACGGGTCAGGTAAAGTTATATTTAAAGAGAGTTCCAGATGGAATTGTCAATGGTGTCAAAATCTGCAGAGATTGAGGAAAACAGGGTGGCACAGGGAGCCCTGGTCGCAGACGGAGAAAAGGTAGTTTGTGACTTTGACCAGGACTATCTCGGCGTTGTGGGTGGGGCAGAAGCCAGATTGAAGGGATTCATACAGTGAGTGGTAGGAGAGAAGAAGCGAAGCTGGGAGGCAATGACGCGTTCTACCTTGGAGAGGAAGGACAGGTTTGAAATGATATGATGATCCCCAAGCACTTGTGTTGCTACTGTCCAGGTTTCTTTTCACATGATTAGAAACTCACAAGGGTGGTACAGAGAAAGAACTCCATTGGATCTCATCCTTCCAGAATGCTATCTCTACTGTTTTGCCAACTCCTTACGCTCCATGTTGTTAAAAAAACCTTATGCTGTAAATAGGGTAGTTTTCGGATATAAGGAAGTTTGTTGGTTTCATTAGTAATGAGCATTTATTCTGTTCACAATATTTTTATAGTTCTTTAAAATTCACACCGAGTGCAATTTTACATTAATATTAAATCTTCACATTAATAGTCCTTTCGGGAAAGCACATTCTAACAGTTCTGTCAAAGCTCTATATATAGGAACTCCTAATTTTGTCCAACAATCCCCCAAATAAAATTGGTCACTCACTCCATTGCTGTTTGTGGGCCATTGCTATACAAATTGGCAGCTACATTAGTCTACAAAATATGCACAATCACTTTACAGAATATTATGTGAAGCTCTTTGAGACATCTTTATAACATGATAAGGTGCTATATTAAATCCACAGATTATTATTTTGCTTCTTTGAAGATTTTCCCTAAAATATGCCTGGTTTTAGTTGTACATTCACAATGTTACAGCAAATTCTCCTTCATCTTAATCCTGTTACGTGCCACGTACCTCAGTGAACTAGCTCGCTAATGGATTCAGTAACTGCAATCAGTAAAGTACAAATCCAATATCTGCCTATCCTATTCTGTTCTCATGGAAACTGAATTATCTGGAACACCTCGGTCTATTTTAATTTGTCTTGTACCTTATTAGTGCAAGATTATTTCCTCTATAGCATTAATTGAATGGGATTTGTCGATTGGTTTTCAGTAAGTTCTGTCAATTCTGTACTGAAAGTCTTAAGAAAAGGAATTGTTAGTATTTATGCATTTCATTTCATTTGACACATGCATAAATATTTTGGACGTTTCTAAAACTATTAATCTGTTGCATGTGCAATATGGAAAATTGATGTTATATATTTTGGATCAATAAACTCAATGAAAAATCTGCATATCATAGCACATATTATCCTAATCCTCCAGTTAAGATTCCAATACAGAACATTTGCGATTTGGTTTCTTAATGCTTTGTGTGCTTGAGGTACATCAATGCAGGGTAATAGTAGGGCTGACTAAGAAACTAAAGCTATTAGAAAGCAATTAAAAATTCAAATGTATCTGTAGTCTCAAACTGGTAAAGGCATCTATCCTTTTCATTCCTATTCCAATTCACCAGCTATCTCCTTCTATTATTTGTTCTTTTTAGTCTCAGCTGGTTTCCACATTTTACTTGTTATTCCATAACATAACAGATTGACTTAGATAAAATCCAGAGTTGACCATTTTATTTAACGAACAGGAACATTCTTTGTTCTTTGTTTTGTTAGTTTTGTTTATTCTTTATTTTTTTAGTTGGCACATGGGGGATCTAGTTTGTTATATTCACAAACAGTTACGAAGAGCTCATTTCAGCCGGGAAACTTGTAATTGAGTTGACAATTGCCATAGACTGCTTGGGTGTGAGGAGCAGCCAGAAAGGGAAATGGACGCCTGTGAGAAATTATGTTTTGGTTTCTGGTCGTTTTCTTGCTTTAGTACCTTTCAGAGGTTTTTAATTTCCCCTTCTGATTCCTTCTGAGAACATTGCAGACTACACGTCGCTTTATCACTAGCACAGGAGGTTTTACAGAATGATTATAAAGAAGCTATTGTTAGTACATAATAGCAGTTCCTGCCATACCGACCATTGTCACTGTCTCCTATAACAGGTTACATAGAGGAGGCCTGCACCATCTTCTGCCCGTCAGACTGTAAGCTCAGTGAATGGTCCAACTGGTCTCGCTGCAGTAAATCCTGTGGTAGTGGCGTAAAGGTGAGATCTAAGTGGCTGCGAGAGAAGCCATACAATGGAGGAAAACCTTGTCCAAAGTTGGACCACACAAACCAGGTAACTATAACAAGCTCCTTTTAAAAGAACATTTTATTTTAGAACCGTTTTGCAAACCTTTTGCACATGGACAAAGGGATTTTTGACTCATTTTGTTGCATTTTGCCAATATATCTACCCTGCTGTTTTCCAATTACAACTCCTTGATCATGCTTCCGAGTAAAGTATTTTCAGATATTGATGATTACTATTATTTTTACAGAAATAGTTGCTAGTCTCTGTCCTAAACTTTCTTTTCATAATCCAACACGTGCTCACTTGGCATGATACAAGTTTCTCTTGATATCTTGGCCAACAATCCTCCTCCAAAGTAAATTGCTCATTCAAGGCTGTGTTCAGTCATGGATTTCTTCCTTACAAGCAAAGAAATTGCCCAGTGCTGATATAACTGGTTGCATAAAACAAAGATGACAGCAGATAGATAGAGCTCACTATGTGCTTGTGGATATCAGAAAATCAATGAAACTGACTACAGAAAATAAATTCTATTCTACGTGGAATTTGTTTTGTCAAAATCTCTTCTTTAAAGATGATGTGTAAATCAAGCAGAATAAATTACAGAACACTATGTGAATTAAAATGAAAGAATTAGGCCGATTTCCATCAAAAGACTAATCCAGTTTTGTACCACAGAGACTTGTTATGTTGATACCTTTATCTTAGGCTCATTAAAATGGGCATCTAGAGAGCAACTGTTAAGTGGTGTGAAAACATTGAAAAGAAGGAAGGTTGATTTGCTGTCCAAATACACACTGTGGTAAAGTGTTTCTCTGTATGCTGCAGATGTTACTTTACAGTGATGTAATAGACTCTGCACTCAATAACAATAATAATCATTTTGGTCAGCCAGGTGTGTGATACATGTGGAAACCCTGCTTAAGAGTATCCAAACTAAACTGAGAGTTCCATGCATCGCACCTACACCTGGAAATCCCAGAGATAGATTGCTGGAATGGAACACACACTCTCCTGGAGGGATGCATCCTGCTTACCTAATTCTGGACAGCTTTAGGCACAGGTTGGCAAGAGCCAAGGCTTGGGGACTCAGAGTGTGAGTTGTGATACTGCTGGAGTCTAACCGGCTAATAACACATAACTTGCCATTGAAAGCATTGTCTGGCAAGTTATCAGCTAAGGCCATCTTACCCATTAGGGCTTTGGTTTGCAGGATTAACTGGAACAGAGTGGGATAATTCCTGCCCCCAATGACTGTTCCACCCTTCTAATTCCTGCCGATTAGCCAGACTGGCTGTGCTGTCATCCACAGTACCTTGGAATACTACAGACTCATTTGGTTCAGGAGCTGAACTAAAGAGACTGCCCCAGGGGTTGGTTCGATTCTGACATTCCATTGCCAGGCTTGTCACCTTTAACAATAATAGTAATGATTGGATTTGATACAGTGCCTTTCACGTTGGGCGAACATCTCATAGAGACTGTATTGTGTAGGCGAATGTGGCAGCCAATTTATACACAGCAGTATTTCATAAACAGCCATGAAGTAACTGGACCTCCTCCCCCCCTAGTCCACCCCTCCCAAATTCAACCCCACCCCAGATGCAAACCCTCGATTGTCCAACACCTTGGGATGTCCTCCTGATGTAAAAGACATTATATAAATATTGTTGTTGACCAATTTTATCTGAGGGACTGTTGGCCAGGACACCAGGAGAAACCCCCAGCTCTTTTTTGAGTACTTTAGTAATAAACCCTCTTCTCAATTTACATCTTTCATTTTTTGGGATAATAAGCCATCTCAGAAGATATTCAGAGGATCAAAGGTTTCCATTGACAAATCTCCAGTTGTTTCTAAATATTCTGGGGGGAAATCATTCAATTTAGACAAGACTTAACTGACCAGTACTTTACAGAGATGAGAGAAGGTCATTAGTCTGCTGTGGGAATGCATAAGAATGTATGAAGTAAAAGTTAATCTTCAAAGCATGCATCAAAATCATCATCATCCTTGCATTTGATACAGTGCCTTATCACGTCTTCGAGTCATCTCAAAATGCTTCACAGGATATATTGTAAAGTAGATTGACTGTGCGTTTTGTGGGCGAAACGCGGTAGCCAATTGCTCACAGCAGTGTCTCACAAACAGTCGTGGATTGAGTGACACACACACACAAACACAGACAGACACATACACGCGCACAGTGCCAGCCCTGACTGTCTGAGCTCCAGCAACAAAGCACCCCTCCCCCCACCCACTGAAGTGTTGCCTGGCTCTGATACTGGGAGATGGCTAGGAGAACAGAACTGGCTTGCACACAGATTAATAGGGAGAGAAATATTTTGTTTCCTACACAAATAAAACTGCGCAAATTGAAGAAAACACCCTATTTTTTTATTTTATTGTAGCAGAATGGAAATGTTGCAGAAAGAAAGATAACTATAAAAAAAGTTCCTTGATTCACCCACTCCCTTCTCTCTTTTGAAGCCTTCCTTAGGACCTTAACACAGTCTTTAGCTCATCCTACCACAACCTCCTCTCCCATTTCCCCAGGCCTCGAGTACCCAGCCAGCTGTGTAAAACATTTGGGAAGTCCTTCCTATGGGAAAGGCGCAAGGTAAATGTAAAATGTATTGTAATATACAACCTTAAATAGAGTTGACAGTGAGCATACAATTCAATACTGATCAAACCTGACATTTAAGACTGAAAAATCTTGACATAACTGGAACATGAGTGATTTGGGTAAGTTGTTTCATTAAAAAAACAGAAAATCTAATTATTGTGATTATTATTTAATATAGAATTTATGTTTGTGCAGTTTGAATGATTAGAGTGAATAACAATATGTCTTTATCTTTTTGTGCCTTTCCTTTGGACACCCAACATGCTCGTGCCAGGCTCAGGTAAGACATTCTTAACCATTGTAATACACAAAAAATCCACTTGTAGTTGGTCTATCCTGATCCATACTTGTGCTTTTGCGTTTTATTTTTCCTGACCAGGACTGACTGCCTTCCTCCATCTCTGCCACATCACCTGCCTTCATCCCATCTGACTTCAAATGCTGATGAAATTCTCATTAATGCTATCACCACCTCCTGCCTAGATTTTTCCAATATACTGCTTATCAGTCTCCTCAGCTCCAACATTAAGAAGGTCCAAATGTTTGAAAACTGTGTCATCCTCATCCGTACCAGGCTCCATACTCCGATCACCCCAGTTCTTGCCAGGCTCCCGGTCACAAAATCGATTGATTTCAAGATCCTCTCTGACACTTTCAAATCTCTTCATACCCTGGCACCTCCCTAACTCTCCAATCTGCTCAGATCCCACTTCTCTAACTTGATACAGAGAAGCTATTTCCTCTGGTGGAAGAATCAAAAACAAGGGGGCATAGTCTTAAAATTAGAACCAAACCATTTAAGAGTGAAATCAGGAAGCATTTTTTTACTCAAAGGGTGATAGAAATCTGGAATGTTCTCCCCAAAAGGCCATGGATGCTGGATCCATCCACACCTTCAAGAGTGAGGTTGATAGATTTTTGTAGATCAGGCTATCAGGGGATATGAGGAGAAAGTCGGAAATTGGAATTGAAAGGATTAGCTGAGGTACAGATCAGCCATGATCTAATTAAGTAGCGGAACAGGCTCGAAGGGCTGAATGGCCTCCTCCTGTTCCTACATTCCTATGTTCCTATCCTCTGCTTTTTCCCATTTGGCATGGGTCTGATGCACTTCTTTCATCCTCTCTGCTCTACAATTGGTGACTGTGCTTTCAGACACTATGCCCCAAATCTATGGATTTCAAACCCTCCTGCACAGGTAGACATGACTTTTTTAATGTCTCATTCATAAGGTGACATCTCCAACACTGTAGCTCACCCCACTACTGCATTGGAATGTCATCTTAAACTATATGGGTCCTAATGTGGGGCTTGAACTCACAACCTTCTAATTCAGAGGAAAGAAAGCTACCAACTGAGTCAGGCTATCTCTATCTCTCGGATTTACTGAATACTGTAAATACTATAAAGACTTGTTTTTCTGACTGGCAAGAAAAGCAGTGTTAGTGTGTATATGGAGAGTTTGTAAGGTGGTAATGTCATACATGTGCATAACAGTACTTTTGCTGGTATCTCACCATCCTGCGTCCAACTTCCATTGGGAGACCTGTGCGGTTAACCAGGGTTGTGTTTAATTGGTGTGAGAATCAGTAGAATTCTACTGTATATCCAACATCTTTGGGAAAGTTAAATGCAATGAGAGCATAGGCTTCTGTTGATTTAACATATTCAAAGCTGTACAAGTGTCCAAGTGATATTTAACAAGAATCTTGACATTAAAATGACAGTTTATACATGTTTTACTACATATTTATACTGTTATTATCAGGAAATTAAGCACTTGTTGCTACTTAAATTAAAATGTCAATCTTTTTAACTTTGGACAGAATGTGTTACAACATCAGAAATGGCAGGAGTTGTGGGGTACATATTAATGATGCATGTTACTGAGCTGAACCTGATATTGTAATAATATGTAATAATGAATAGAGGAAAAATACAGGGAAATAAAATTAACTTCAGTGGGTCAGCCAACTCCAGCACCATTGCTTTAGTCTGTCTGAATGGTGGGGCTGATGTTTGTTGACTGATTGTCACATGAAGCATTAATTGAGGTTTGTTGATTTCTTCCATTCTTGGCATGCAGGAAAACACGCTGAACAGTCATAAAATCAGCAAGAAATTCACTTCCAGAACATGAATAGCAAAGCCTTTTTCTTCCTGAATTGAAAACAATTCTTTATTAACCCCTGTTATTTGTTTAACTGTATAAATACCCTTTCACAAATGCTTCTTTCTGGGCAAGAGGGACCAGTAACTGCAACTTGTTAATTCTCGTGTTGACTAGTAGAAAGGGGTATTGCAACAATACAATTTACATTGCATCTTGCACTTTGGGAGGATGTCTCAAAGTGTTTCACAGTGCTGGAGTGCAACCATGCTAGAGGTGGGAGGCAATGGGGTGGGAAGGGGAAAGATGACTGAAAGTTTGGTAATCCTCATAGAGATAGGGTGGAGCATACCGTTTGGAGGGATTTGCAGATGATCAGGAGGATCTTGAACTTGATCCACTGGGGGATGGGAAGCCAGTGGAGCTGAGCGAGGATGGGCTTGCGGAGCCTCGCACATGAGAGGACACAGGCTGCAGAGTTCTGGATAGTACCACATTATGCAACACAACATCTTTACCCTAAATGCTCTGTTCCTATGCCCCACACTGCACAATCCATTATAATCTTTCAGTCCAATTCTTAAACAATCAATTTGTTGGTAATCCATATGACATTGTTTCCACTGCCACTTGTCCCTTTATGCCCATTATTACAGCTGTTGGGCTGTTTTCCTACAATCACCCAATGTCATCCTTTACTTTATTTCACCTCTTAAGCATTTATTTTCCTTTGGGGCTTTTCTCAAAGGCTTTCCAATCAAACACTACAATTATTGATTCTATCTATCATTTAACCAGGATTATAGGCCCCCAGTGGCCTCAGAATAACAAATGTTGACTCACAGCAGCAAATTTGTTTAGTTGTTAAAAGAAATGCACTTCTGTTCTTCAAGGAGTACATACCAGATGTTCAGCCTAGTTCTGGTTCAGGTTTCCGGGATGCTGCCTCTTCATGAGGGGCACTATATAAATGTAAGTTGTTGTTGGTTTTGAATTGGGCTCATTCATTGCGAGGTAATATTTGGGGAAGAAAGTGTATTAAGTGGTCATGTTACTGAGATCTTGCCACTGGATAAAGTGTTTGCAATGTAACCTTGTCTCATGCACTTCTGTCTATATATAATACACTGGATCGCAAGATTTCAGCTCCAAAGCAATCGCAGGTCAGAGCCAATGTCTTGTAAGTCATTGTGATGCAGAGTTTATTTCCTGCAAAAAACATAGTTAATGTCACAAAATGCCTTTCCCAGCGACAAAGTAGCAATGACATTATTGCTCATCCAAAGAATACTTTTTCAACTTTGAAGTTTCATTAAGTTTTGCATGTCTTGTTGCTGCAGGTGTATGAAGTGGTTCCCTGCCACAGTGACTGCAGTCAGTATGTGTGGATAGCAGAACCATGGAGTGTGTGCAAAGTTAGCAATGTGGACCTGAAAGATAACTGTGGAGAAGGAGTGCAAACTCGGAAAGTCAGGTATGTATAAAAGTGGTGTATATTATCCTTTTATTACAGCCTTAAGTGTTACAACTGTATGGAAAATTTACAATAAAGGATCCTGGTATTAGAGGAGATACCATGAATTACAAATAGATTGATAACTGGAATTAGACATGAGAAGTATAATTAGAGGCTGGGAGACCTGGAAGTGTTAGCATCCTATTGACATATTTAGGACCATTAACTGTTCAGATAAACTGAACCCAAATAATATGTTTTACAAAGTCAAAAGAAAAGTACAACAAGGTGACTGACTCCAGCTCAGAAGAGACTAGCTGAAGAGGCTATTTCAAAATATTTTACAGTGTCAACATATGGAATAGACAGCGAGGCAGTGGAGGGAGATTATGTGCTAGCAAACTCGAGAGCGAATTAGAATACAATTTTGCAAAGAAATTGATTGAGAAGTATGAGTGACATATAGTTATTTTTTTAAAACTATGTTGGGATCAGTTAAATGGGCTTCAGTGATTTTTTTCTGGGCTGTTACATTCCTTTGTTTAGATATTCATTCAAATTGGGGAAAAAAAAACCTTACATTTACCAATGACATAGTAGGCATCCTCATAAAATATGTAAAGTAATTTAATGATTCTATCAAATTTTGGATTTTATCTGAACTGAAGGGCATGATCTTGTTCGATTTAAATGTTAGGTTTGAAAAAAACATAACCTCTTTTTGCATTAGATGCATGCAGAATACAATGGATGGGCCCATTGAACCAGCAGAAGATTACCTCTGTGACCCAGAAGAGATGCCACTTGGTTCTAGACAATGCAAGCTGCCATGTCCTGATGACTGCGTCATGTCTGAGTGGACTTCCTGGTCCAAATGTCCTCTAGTAAGATGGCAGTAATTCTTCTCAGTGAACGTTACACAACATCCATTCTTCACTTACATGATTCTGCAATTCTGAGAATTTCTTGAAGCACTTTAAGCATTATTTTCCAGCAATATGTTTCTTCGTGAAAACTATTTGGATGAAATGAATTGCAGTTAGAACAAAAAGACATGTGTAATACTGTTGGTAAAGCCATTGAAACAGAGGACAATTGTATTTCTTAGTATATTATGTTGTTGTATTAGGTGCGGCTTTAATTGTTTGCTTGTGTGGTACAAATACCTTGTTGAATGAATGCAAAAGGAAAAGGACATCCTGTATGAACAGATATTGTCTGTATTCTTTTAACATGTGCTTTCCCTTCCGTTCAGCCCTGCAATAGCAGTTCTGTTAGAGAGCGATCAGCGGTCCCTGTACGTCAGCCTGGGGAAGGAAAACCCTGCCCATCGGAAAAAAACACTGAGACCTGCAGTCTGAACAAGAACTGCTTTCACTATATCTACAATGTTACAGGTAACTATGGGTTCTGCTCAATGTTATAGAAACACACTTTAATAGTAATGTTTTCAACTAAAAAAGAGGGCATTTGGGTTTTTTCACAAACATTACCAGGGTGCCAAGCCAGGACTGTCAAGTGCCTTGGGATGTCTTCCCAATGTGAAGGGCGCTATATAAATGTAAATTTGTATTGTATTATGAAAGCACCAATTTAAAAAAATCTGCCTTTTCAAGTCAAAATGATTCAAATGTTTCATAGCTAATTACTGTTTTTNGTAGACAAAAGGTGTAACCATTTTCACAAGCAAGGTCCCTCAAACAGCTATGAGATGACAACTAATCAATCTAGAGTTGGCCAGGATACAGAGAAACTCAATTCACTTTTTGAATAGTGTTGTGGGATTTTATAACATCCAGCAGAAAACTCAGATGTTTAAAGTTTCATCCAAAAGACAACACCTCTGACAATGCAAGAATCCCTTGTACTCCTTTGAAAGATCAATTTGTTATAAACACCTTGTGTTTCAAACCACTCAGACTAAATGGCAACTGTCTCAGTATCAGAGTGTGTATAATTGCTTGCTGTGTGAATTCTGATTATCTTCCATATAACAGACTGGAGCACCTGTCAGCTGAGTGACAAGGCAGTGTGTGGCAGCGGCATTAAAACACGAATGCTGGACTGTGTCCGCAGCGACGGAAAGTCAGTTGACCTCAAGTACTGCAAAGAGGTATGTCAAGGGAGGAGGCTGCAAAGCAGTCAGCTCGTTCAGCTAATGTAAGGCAGCACCATACTGCATCACCTTATCTAACATGGAATGCTTTCCCCCAATTCATTCATTAACAATGAAACCAGGCAAGTTCCTGTCAATCTGGTGTGACTTTTAGTTGGTATTTGTAAGAACTTTTCACATTGTTACATCTTAGTGGAAATGTCTGGTACGATAAGGAAGTTAGCTTGCTATTGGTACTTAATATCAATAAAAGAAGTCCTTAGCTTTCCAGTTTGCTGACAACAATCTTACATTTTTGTTCCGTACCAAAGGCTGAGGTTACTAATCATTTGAAAAGTTAAGTGAACGGTAAATGAATAAAGGATGATTTATTTTGGTCATCTGGCTGTGAACCAGCCAGCTAAAATTCCCATTGAAAGACTGCTTGGCAAGCTTCCTGCTGCTTGTCGAGCTAGGACTACCTTGCCCATTCACAGGATATACTGTAAAGTGGAGTGACTTTGTGTTTTGTGGCTGAAAGTGGCAGCCAATTTCCACACAGCCAAATAACACAGCAATGAAATGAACAACCAAGTTTATTTGGGCCATGAAACACCCTTCTCTTTTCGGACAGTGCTAATTGTGTGATCTTTAAAATCCATCTGAATGGACAGACAGAACCTTGGTTTAATGTTTCATTCAAATGATGACACCACTAACATTGTAGCACACTCCCAGAACTGCATTGATTAGACTGTTTGAGCTCCAAATCCTAATTTAGTGCTTTGAACCCACAACCTTCTGACTCAGGCGAAATGGAAACATGAAGGGATGGTGGGTCTCTTGAACCATGCTTGTACACTCCTCTGAGAAGCACAGGATCAAAGGCAGTGTTGGGAGTAGTTTTGGAATATAACCATTTTACTGCAATCCATGACTGGAGAATCCAATAAATGTGATTATTGATGAAACTTGTAAAATTTATGATAGGGGAGTGATTCCACACTATTATAGGTACCACAATAACAATCCTGTTTACTGTCTGTGCGCTGCTCACAACAGTAATAGGATTGTCCATCAGCTGCTGCCTGGAAACCAGTTCAGGAGAATTTGCAATAATGTATGGTTCCATTTAGGAACTGCTAACGAAGACCAAAAAAACTGCCCAGAGATTGACTCTGAGTGAAAATTGTTTATATTGCAACAGAGCCTCCAATGTAATGCATTTAAATGTAATATTCATAGTCATGAAATGAATAACAAATTCTGATCTTGTTAAATTGTCAGATATGATCCACAATATTCATGTAATCCCCAGAAGTTCATTCTTCAAGGGATGTAGTAACATCCTTGCAACATAACAGAAATGAGCAGGACAAGCTTTTAGTGTGTTTTGAGGATATTGCGGATTGATAAATGCTACACGGTTTGGTGCATTTTCCTAATCCAATTTTCAGATACTTTGGCCCTGCAGAATGTCATATTTCCAGATGTTATACAACTAGATAAAAACGTGTTTTATTTTGAAATCTGGGATGGGCATTTGATCTTTGAAGGATTAATATTATCACCGAGACTAATGTAGATTTGTTAAATGGGGTGAACAATGCTTCTACTACCTTTCTGTCCAGAGAAGGTTGGTGATGCATAAATCTGAGAATAGATGGTATTCCTGGCCTGCCATCTCCTGGCCTTATATAGAATGACACACATACATACCGTTTGTTTTAGAACAAACACACTATCTGAGACGACAGCTGAACAAAAAGACTTGCTTTAAAATTTTCTTTAAATTCCAATTCAAATATTTTTGACAACAGTTAAATAGCAATTGTTTTGTTAATGTATTGATCTAAGAGTGAACAACGCACCAAGACAATATTTTATGGGAATAGCGCTGCATTTCTGCAAGTTATTGTTCTTGAACTTTCTTCCAATTTTGGTTGTTTTTGCATCATTCGCAAGTACCCCCATTTATATTTCTAACGAACAATTTGAAATACTTTCCAGCAGCAAACTGTTCAGGAGAGAAAGCTGGGTTTTGCTCCAGGATCTACAATTGTAGTCGCTGGGCAAAGAAAACTTTTAAATGGGATTGAGAAACTAAACCCAGAACAATACTTTCAAATACACCAAGATAGCAGAACAAGAGGACAGAACACAGTTCAGGGTTGGAAAGGGCATTTTCAGGACAGACCCTAGGAAGTATAATTAATAATTGGAATGGATTACCCTTACTGACTGGAATGTGAGGTTGAGGTCACAACGCTGGACTCATTTAAAAAATTGATTGAATTATCATGCATGGATGGTAGGATGAGTATTCTGGAAGGATGAGATCAAATAGATGAATGGCCTGGCCTTTTTCATCCAAATCAGTCTTGCGAATTAAGGTTTCTTGTGACAAGTTGTTTTTTTACCAACATTGAAAATGGTTCCTGAAAAGCTACCGAACAATCCATTGGGAGATCAATCACAACAACGTTAGCTTATTTGGCACCTTTCACATAGGATAAATCTTAAGGTGAAAGTGAGTAACACATGGGATCAGAACTTAAACTTAAAAAAAGAAATAATATATTTTTAAAAACATTTTTAAAAATGTGGGGCTTATAGCTAGACTTATAAATTAGTGGGTTTTCATACCTGTTCAATGCAATGAGGGTATTTACATTGTGTAGTACCTCTCTTTGGATATAATTGTCACACTGTTGACACCAGTTTCCTATTTAACACTAAATGAAAATTATGGGGCAGAATTCCCCCTTGAGTTCCAAGAATGGTTTCTCCAACCTCTTTGTTTATCTGCCTGGTCAGTACCATTTTGGTTAAAGGTAGGATACAACAACAACTTACATTTATATCTTCAAGCTGTTAAGGTGAAAGTGAATAACATAAGGAATCAGAACTTGAAATGAGAAGAAAGAATATTGTTTTAAAAAATAAGAAAATAAAATGTAAGGCTTATAACCATACTTATAAATGGTTAAAATTAAGTAGCAACACTTCAATTTGAAATTCTAGCCACCAAAATGTCTTGTAACTTAAATGTATTTGTGTAATAATTTTTTTTCAGCTAGTAACTGGTCACAAAACACAGTATCTGTGCTCTTCCCATCCCTGAAATATGGTTTTCCTGGTCATCTAGCTTAGTTCCAAAGCCTTGGATTTGGGAAATTAGATTGAAAAAGTGCATGTGTTACAAAGATAACTATTGAATTCACGTAGTCTAGGATGTTACTCTAATGCAGTGCTGGGGTGCACTACATTGTTGGAGGTGCTGTCCTTCGGATGACATGTTAAACCAAGATCCTGTCTGCCTGCCCAGGTGGACGTTAAAGATTCCATGCTGCTATTTGAAAAGAGAAGGGAGTTTCTCCTGATGTTCTGGCCAACAATTCCCCAAGTAAAATCAATCATTATTGATGGCTGTTTGTGGGACACTGCTGTACACAAATTGGCTGCCACATTCGATTACAAATATACAGTCACTACACTGTACAGTAAATTCTGTTAAGTTCTTTGAGACATCCTCCCAACATGAAAGGCGCTGTATCAATTGCAAAGATTATTATTATTCACTGAATCAATACAAGGGGTCACAATATTGTGCAACAGAGGGTGAAGTTTCATGTTGTTTTTTCTAACTCTGTGACCCTGAGGTCACCCAGAATTCCCATATATTGTACAGTTTCACCATATTATAATGTCATTGATCTACTGAACCACAACTCTACCTCCATCTCCCTCCCTCATGAATCTGGATTCTTTTTACCACTATAATAGCAAACAAGCCCTCCTCAAATTTTCCATCCAACTACTTCCTGATCCCAGCATCCTCAGCCCACATTGAAAGATTAATAAGAGAAAGTTTGCAGGATGCAGATGTTAATAATAGATAAATAGAATCCCTCAAGTTGTTTGCAAGCTTTTAGTTACGTGGTAAGTTTACAATGGTGAAGAGCTGTTGCTTAATATTTTATGCTGACTGCTAGCAAAATAACCCTGACAGGTGGAACGTTGTGTGAAGCGTTGGCGCATGATAAATGGGGCAGGCACTTCAATACAAATATGAATTAATTACCCGTGAGCTAAGCGTAGTTCATGTCGTTTGAAGGAAATGGGAACTCCAAGGTAAGGATTTGGAATGTAAAGTGCTCGTCTTGGGATATGCACTTTGTAATTTTTTTCATAAATCTATTCAGAAAAGAAACAGCTTCCAAAGCCCTAAATGTAGACCATTAACTGAGTAAAAAAGTGAAGGGTGCTGTATAAATGCAAGTTGTTGTAATGAACTGTATTATTTTAAAGCCTCCCAGTCCTTATTTAGAGATGTTAAAATTACGATTGCGCAGAATTGTGGGGAAAAAAATTCAATGCATTCGTAATTTGATTGTAAGAAAAATAGTTTCCAACTTGACTGAATTTAAGAATATTGCACACTAACATATTAACTAACAGTCACAATAATATGCAGAATATTTTCAAAATGCATGTCAATGAGGGGTAAGAAACATCTGATTCCTCACAGGTAAAACATATACAAATAGTTTTCTGATCTGTTTCCTTCCCGAAGAGCACTTGTCTGATTTACGGTCCAATGCTGCTGTCTGTGACTGAGTAAACATGAAATCCAATATGTACAAAATATCTGCAATATGCAATATACAAACACAGCAGTAATTCCAGCAAGTCAACAGTGAAAAACTGATTTCACCGTATTCCAGATCAACAAGAGAGAATTTTTTAAAAAGCAACTTTTCATGAAAAATACATTGGCTCCTCAGCATGAGCCATTCATTCCTGACTCTATCTATAAACAGCAGACCTAAAGGTGTACCCGTGTGTGTAACACTCATCTTGCAAGTGCTTAAGTGTAAAGCACCAATTTGAAAACCTGTGGTGAAGACTGAGGTAAAATGAGGTGTAACGTGCCAATTATTTCTCACCAGCTGATGTTCTTTTTTCTCTCTGTCGGTAGCTGGGTCTCGAGAAATCATGGCAGATGAACATATCCTGTATTGTGGAGTGCCCGGTGAACTGTCAGCTTTCTGTCTGGTCGCCCTGGTCCCAATGTTCCCAGACGTGTGGCCTCTCAGGTGGGTCCCAACTACTTTGTAGCCAGCTGAACTTCTGAGAATCTAGCAGCTGCCACTTTGACTTGATGTTTACTTATGTTTTTACGTGAAAATTAATAACAAGACATCAATGCATATTAGAAGTCAAAGCAACTTGCTTTTCAGTGTTTACGATATTCCAGTGACATGTTCATTGACTTTAGAAATTTGCATCAATTTCCTGCTACCCGATAACAGTGCTCCCAGGAGATGGATGTCACTGATATTATTTTGCTGTTATTATAATAATATATCTATAAATATTCATGAGAAAACAAACTGGGCTCGGGTTCTGTACGAATGAAACAGCAGCCCATTATAAGCTGCCTGTTAGAACATTAGTTTGCTTATAAGACAAGTGCCCTGTGGAGCTGCTATTGATTTCCACTTGTAGACCAGCCAGCTTCCTATGTGGCACAAAATGGCTGACTTCTGGGCCAACAGGTCACCACCAACACCACTCATCTTATAAGCAAACCAGTGTTCTAAAGAGGTAGCTTATAATGGGCTTCCGCAATGCTGGACTTGCACACTATAAGCTGTACCCTGACAAGACCCATAATAAGATGAATTGGAATTTTATGTTATTTATAAAGGTCACTAATAATATTCATAGATCACATGAAACTGTTATATTATACATTGTTCATTGTGTTTCCTGGTCATTGACCACTCATTCTTCCTCGATAAACATAAAGCAATCTTGTTACAGTCCTTCGGTGGGAATGCCATTGAGTCAACCATACATTACACTGACAGCTGGCATAGTGGCTGTTGGCACAAAAATGGATTAAAAATGGGATAAAAACAGCCCATAAACGTTACGGTTTATATTATTAACAAGTGAGGAGTGATTACAAGGCAGTGAATAATCCAGGGACTTCAGGTAATTGTTACAAGCTGCTCAAGCTTCACTCTAGTGCAATGAGCTCAGTCTGAAAGGCTTGATCAGAATGCTGGATTATTGCTCCCAGTGTTTTGCCATTGAGTTAAGGACCAAGTTGTGTTTCACTGAACACTTTATAAAAGCATGAGGGAGGATTGAGATGAGTTTTTATAACCAAGTTGTTGTGGAATCTGTGCCTTCTTCATTTAGGACAAATTCAACGTACAAGAACCATAATTCAGCCATTCCAGGGGGATGGACGACCGTGTGTGCTGCAGCTGGAACAATTCAAATCCTGCCCCATCAAACCCTGCTATCGATGGCAGTATGGCAAGTGGGCCAAGTGCAAAATTGAGGTACTCTAAGCTCCATCTTTATACTACCTTTATCGAGCTTCAGTAAAACTACCTTTGCAAGCTGGGTAATGAATTAACAAACTAACCAATTTGTATAAATAATCACATTTAATTACACAGACTATATAGCAATGAAATGAGCCATTTGGCCCAACTAGTCCTTGCTGTTTCCACTCAGCATGAGGCTACACCTTACCTAATCCCTTCCTAATTTTCTCCCATATCCTTCTATTCCCTTCTTGCTCTTAAATGCAATGTTTCCTCTTATGACTGTGCAGAAACAGTTTAACACTGCTACATAATTACAATCAATACTCAAATCCTGCTGTATGAGGCTCCAGGTTGAACATGACGGGTGTATTCTATTTGTAAAATAAAACTCCAGTTCCTATTGTTTCTTACATCTACTCTAGTGACCTATTTGAGCTTCACCTTTCTCCTCCCCAGAAGTTGTTTCATGTTTCCTCCTTCCCACAATATACCCGTTGCAGGGTAGAAATACCATCCCACAGAAGATTGAAAGACCCTTTCTGTGAATTTGATTGGATCAACAAGCTACACTCAACAACGACTTACATTTATATGGAGCCTTTCACAGAGGATGAGAGTCTTAAAATGGTCAAATTATTTTCGGCCTTTTTAACAAGCCACATTGGTCCTCCCTTTTTTGTCGTTGAAAATCCCAATCACCTGACCCCTACATTTGGACTCTAATATTAACCTGGAAAATCCTAGATTCAATCAAGCGCTCTGGGATGCTACCCTACGTAGGTAGCATTATATAAATGCAAGTTGTTGTTGTTGTTGTTGAATCACTTCTCATTGCTTGTGATTGTGAATCACATAGAAAGGTAATGTGCCCTTTTTTGTTACTAGGATGCTCAGTGTGGAGTTGGTACGAGGTTTCGAAATATTTCATGTGTTGTGTTTGATGGATCCAGTGAAGGTCCCGGGCAGACAGTTGATGAGGAATTCTGTGGGGACCTGGAGCCTATGGTGGATGGAGATACCCATATAGTCCTTCAGGAGTCATGTACTGTCCCATGCCCAGGTACAGCGGGACTTTCTATAGCAACAACTTATATTGCATCTTTCAAACATGGAAATCAGCTCAAAGCACTTTAGAGAGACAGAGTGAGAGTGCAAGCATTGTGGGAATAAAGGAAGAAGGTAAGAAGAAGATGGCTGAAGGAGCAGTGAAAGAGTCGGGATTTACATGTGATTTAAAAGCAGAGAGAGAGAGGAGAGGGATTTAGAGAGAGAGTTCCAGAGAGGAGTTTAAAGCGACATTCTTTGGAAGACATAAGAAAAACATACGTTGTATGGTCGAGTTATGCCTAAGAGACAGGATCTTAAATGCTGCTAACTCAGGAGGAGTGTACTGACAATTTGTGCTTTTGGCCTTTTTTCTTGATTCTGTTAACATTATTTGGGCAGCGATATGGGCAGTGTTCCAAAGATTTCACATACACAAACCCAACTAAAATGGAGCGAAGATGTGTGACCTCTGCAACAAGAACAAATTTGTATAACATCAGGAGGACTTCCTAAAGTGCTGGACAGTCCAGGGTTTGCACCTGTGCTGGGGGAATTTTAAATTCTGTCATAATTTGGAAGCCTATTTTTAAGTGCTGCAGAAAATTGCCTTCCAAATTACCAATGAATTTACGAGTTTTGCACAAATCTACTCTTTTTTGAAAATTACTACAAAGTAGTCTTACAGTGCAAGGCTTCCATTCTTTAGGGATTGATAGAAAGCCTGAGATTGTGCTGTAGCATTTCATTCTCCCTTATGGCTGTCATTTAAGTGAGTCTGCAGCAGAGTGCTTTCTGTAATTCAGCATCAAATCGTCAGTCTCACACGCAGTATAAGGGTAGCTGGTGTGTGAAATGGAGAATGTCACTCTGCAGTAAAAGGTTTTAGACTTGGATTTGGGGTTATATAAGATTGCATATAAACATTCAAATTGAAAATAAATGCACCGAAAGCCATTTAATCATCCATTCAGCAATTCATGTCAGATTTATGTGCCATCTCCTCCAGTAGCAGATCCATTCAGAGCAGAAAGCTGGATTTAAATTTCCTGCTCCGAGTACTTATTGTCAGGATCTGAGGAGAGCTTTGCATTGCTGAGCTTCACTAACGAATACTAGTTTGTTTGTCATTAAACAGTTGGTCACACATAATAATAAAACCAGTCCGTTAAAGCTTATTGGGCCATTCACAAAAAACAACTAATAATAGATCATATTTGTACACCAAAGTGATTAGCCTTCTAAAGTATCCTGTTGTCTTCAGGTGAGACTTGCGGTTAAGTTGCTATTGGGTGAAAATTGAGAAACATAGTAATTTTCACTACTGTGCTGAGCAAATATATTGATTGGGGTGTGGGGGCTGTTGTCCTCGCCTCAGTCATTTTTTATTTAGCTTGGACCAGAAGTCTGAGTCACTGGGGTGAATGGGTAGTGGATCAATACATTAGAGTTCTACATTTCGCTCTGAAAGTCATACACTTACATGAGATGTCGCGGAGATGTATTACGGCGCTATATATCAAATGCGACGATTATTATATTCATACTATAGCGAATACAAATCTATTAATTATTCATTGCTGAATCAGCAAGGCCCACATGAATATCATTCCGCAAAGCTCTTCTGGGTTTCATTTTACTCTGGATATGAACCTATGTTTCCCAATAGATTTTGTTCTATTTCATTGTTTTTAATTATATTATTTGTGTATCTTACTTATATACTCACATTGTGTGCCCGGACCTCTGCCAATCCTACCAGTTGACAGACAATAGAACACATAAATTTAATGGTGTCTTTCGATGTTGCTTCATAACTGAGATTGTGAATTATGATAATAATAATCACTTTAGTGTAAACATAAAACCCTTCACAATGGCACATGATCCATATATTACCTCCTGCTATTATTATTGCAGGTTTGCAGTAATAATAAAAAATTATTGGTCATGCGCACACATAATATTCAGACTTTATTGGATGTCTTCTGTTATAAGAACATTCAGGACCCAAAAAGGCTATTGCAGTTCATCTGGCTAGTCCATCAATGTTTGACTGTAATGTTATTTATAGGCGACTGTTACCTGACAGAATGGTCCAGGTGGAGTACCTGCCAGCTGACCTGTGTGGATAATGAGGATCTTGGATATGGTGGAGTGCAAGTACGGTCCAGGGCAGTGATTGTCCAGGCCCTGGAGAACCAGCATTTCTGCCCAGAGCAGACACTGGAGTCCCGCGAGTGCACAGGTAGGTAGAGTGGTCCTCACAACTTCCTGCAGGAAAGGACACATCTATGTTGCTTCAACATGATCTGTAATGAAGAACAATGTGTTAAAGGGTTGGTAAAACTACTGCCTAATGGAAAACTGAGATGTACAGACCAGGAAAGTTTGCAAATTTAATTCCTAAACTGTTTTGACTTCATTGATCACAATCGAGACAGCAGTTTGGGCACAAGATTTAAAAATATAAAAAATATAAAAATAATAACGCGCTATATTAAACCAAAAGTATTATTATTATTACAGTTCGCCTCAGTAGCACAGGCTTAGGGAGGGGAAAATGAGTCCTGGCTCCCACTCATGCTTGTGGCCGGGCTTTCAGCCTCTCTGCTCTAAACTTGCATTTATATAATGCATTTATATAATGCTACCTACGTAGGGTAGCATCCCAGATGGACCTCCAACCCACAGTCCCTTTGCATCGCTTCCTCCCTTTCCTCCTTCGAGGTCGGTCTCAAGACCTTTCTTTTCAACCATGCCTTTGGTCTCCCTCCCACCTCTCTGCCTTCCCTCACCTCTACACCACCCCTCCCCCACGCTCGGGCCCCGACACCTGACTGTTCAGCGCTTTGGGACGTCCTCCCGATGTGAAAGGCACTCTATAAATGTAATTTTGTTGTTGTTGTCCAGTAACTCCCTTCTGGAAAACGAGTCCAACATTCAACCTTCTGGGTTTTAGAACCTTGTCCTGCACCTGCTGTTGCCTTCACTCACTAGGACATTAAAGAATTGTATTGGCATGTTCATGCTTAGACATAATGTATGTAATGTTTGAAAATCATCAATATAAAATGCAAGGATTATTGTAATGTCCTGCAAAAAATTACAGTATTCAGGATGTCAGGAAGTTTCTGATCAACAAACCACAGAAGGAGTTTAACTGAATCTTATGCTTCTCTCTCTCTCCCTCCCCAGTCAGATCTATTCCATCAAATGTAATCTGACATTCTTTGAAGTGGAAAGATTTGCATCTCAAAATGCAATTAATAAATGTTTTAGCATCACATTATTTCTAATTGAAACCCATATAATAATCATTCATAACAATAATAAGACTTGCATTTGATATAACACTTATATAACATTAAAAATGCTTAAGGTACTTCACAGGTAATTGCTGTGAAATGTAGTGACTGTTTTTGTAAGCAAATATGATAGCCATTTTGCACACAGCAAAATCTTATAAACAACCATGAGATGAATGGTTAATTTATCTGGATAACGATGAGCAGGACAAAACTCCTTTCGGTTTTGAAATAGTCTCTTTGGATCTTTGATGTCCACCTGAAGAAGAGACGGACTTGGTTTTAATGCCTTGTTCAACAATACAGGTGGCACCTTTGATTGTGCAATGCTGCCCCAGCACTGCCCTTGGTTGTTAGGCTGGAGTATGAGCTCAAGTGCTAAAGTCCATGGTTAAAGTTTCAGCTGGATCAGTTGGTAGGATTCTCACCTCTGAGCCAGAAGGTTGTGGGTTCAAGCACCAGGTCAGGACTTTGAACTCACAGTCTAGGCTGACAATCCAAAGCAGTGCTGGGGAAGTTGCTGCATTGTCAGAGGTGCCGTCCTTTGGATAAGACGTTAAACCTGAGTGCATGTCTGTGTGTTCAGGTGGACGTTAAAGATCCCATGCCACTATTCAAAAGAAAGGGAGTTTCTCACAGTGTCATGGTACATTATGATGGTACCGCAATAACAGTGTGATTATACAGTAGAGGTGACTTTGAGTGTGGTTTAAAGCACAGGGCACAGCAGGTGCAGGCTTAGTAAACATATACTCAGTTACATACCACAAATTGTTTTCCAAAGCCAAAACCAGAAAATGATGGAAATCTGCAGCAGGTTAGAAAAGTGATAGTTTAATGTCACATTTTATCCAATTTGGACCCCCCCCCACCGCTTGTGATGCTAATAAAGTCAGTTTGGCCCATCATGTCCATGACAACTTCCTAAAAGAGCTAATCAATTAATCCTACTCCCTACCCTATAATATCTCCACTTTTTTTCTCAGTTATATATTTTTTAAATATTTGTCCAATTTTCTTTGAATAGCTACATCCTGCTTCAACCACAATTTATGGGAGAGCATCAATGTCCCAACAAACCTCTGTGTTTAAAGAAATTAAGACAGAGGGTTAACATCTCCCTTAGTTATTTTGATAATAATGTTAAATTTAAGCCCTCTAGCTACTGGATCATCGACTTGCGGAAATAGTTTCTCCTGACTTACCAGCCCAAACCTCATGATTATAACACTTCTCTTGTTTCTCCTCCCAGCTGGATTTGTTCCTGTAAATACATGATTGTAAGAAAGTTTTTTTTTATAGCCTGATTATTCTAGTTCTGATAAAAGACAGACCTGAAAGGTTAACCTCATAATAATAATAATCCTTGCATTTGATATAGCGCTTTATCGTGTCTTCGAGATGTCTCAAAGTGCTTCACAGAATATACTGTAAAGTGAATTGACTGTATATTTTGTAGGCAAAATATTCTCTTTATTCTCTTTGAAATCCTGATGAATCTGTTTTGAATTTCCAGTATTTCTATTTTCCTTATTGTTTTCCTTTTTTCAAATCTTTTTAATCCTGGAATGAATAAACAATATGTTTCACAGATTTTAGAGTGCTTTCTTTCAACTGATTCCCACACGCCCCGTGTGCTTATTTTTGATGCCTTAAAGCACAGTAGACATCTCAGAGGCTGTTTCACCAGATACTGCTTGCTGTGATTGTATGATGGGATATGATGGATCTCTTGCCTCTTATTTATGATGGTTTCTTATAGATGGTCGGTGTTATGAATATATCTGGCTAGCCAGTGCATGGAGGGGATCTTCCCGAGCAGTATGGTGCCAAAGGTCAGATGGACTAAATGTCACAGGTATAAACAGCATTTTTATTTTCTTCATGCATCAATAAAACACTGTCATTATCAATGATTTCCTGAAATCCCCTTCCATCAAGCGCTTGTTCATTGTGGGCCACATCCTGTGCAATGTTATTTTCCTCCCCTGTTACTTACAGCACACACAACTGAGTGACATGTGCAGGGCTTGAGACCTAGAGGATCTGAACAGGAAGTTACAATTCAATGCACTTGTGTGTAATTGTCGTTTATGTTTCCAGTGTTCTGCTAACACAAAAAAAAGGCTGGAGCTCCAGTGATGAATCTGTGGAACCACATAATCCAGAAATGGGCCGAGTTCAATCTTTGATCTGGGTTGAATTAAATAGTGTGAGCCACCACAGCTTATGTTAGAATTAATTTTGATGACCTTGACTATTGAGTAGTAAGTCGGTCGGGGGCTTGGTCCTCAGACTCAGAATATCTCATGGTCTTAGCCTTAAAACCATTATCTTAAAACTTAAGATCATGCAAAGTATTGGAAAATTCTTCAATTTATTCCAAATGTGGCAACCAAATTCTGCACAGTCTTATATTTTAAGAGATCTTCAGGCTAAGATCATGAAAATCTGGGGGTCTTGCATCCTTTTTCATTGACAATCTGCTGGAAACGTGTGTGCATATGTGGGTCTGCATTAAGATGATCAATGAAAATAGAAATTCCATTCCAGACACAGCTAAATCGCCATATGTGGAATTCTCAGACTGAAAGATTACAACAAGTTGCATTTGTAAAGTGCCTTTCACATGGAGTAGCATCTCAGAGGGTTTAAACAATAGCGGGGCTTGACTCCAAACCAGGAAGATAGAGGATGCACGGTCAAAGCAGAAGGTCTTTAGGTGGAAACTAAATACTTGCCAAGAGGGGGCAAGGTAGACAGATTGATGTAGGAAGTTTCAGGGCATAGTGGCTGAAAGCATGGTTGCTGTTGGTGGAGCGGACGGGACGAGGGACGATTAAGCATGGTGATGAGCTTCCACTGACCAAGAAAAATACACAAAATAGCAATATTTTCACTATGGGCTTATTACTGGAAGATCAACGTTTCTAGCAAACAGTTTAAAACAAACCCTCTATTGAGCGAGGACAGGATTGAGTTTGGTTGCGTTGCTTCTCACTCGTATTCATTGTCCATGAAGCTACATGAAAAACAACCACTTAGTAAGATCCCAGATCTCTGTTAACATCTGTGGAACCTTGACCAAACACGAAGAGAGGACAGACGAGAAGAATATTTGGATAAAAAATATTTCCAAGCAGAAAACTGATAAAAGAAAAATTACCACTGATAATTGGTCTGCAGAATCGTCCACTTCATTTCAAATAGTGTCATGGATATTTAACATCCATCTGAACTGACAACGCCTCAATTTAACATTTCATCGGAAGGACAACACCTCCACCAATGCAGCACTATCCCAGTAACACACTAAAGCAGCTGTCTAGACTGAGATCAAAGTCCTGACATGAGGCTTGACCCCACAACCTTCTGATTCGGAAACAAGAATGCTACCAATTAAGTCAGACTGACAAACAGTACTATCGGTCTCAAGAAAGGCTTAACTACAATATTCTGTAAACACAGTGTACTGTAAATGAATAACCTCTGTCTGTCTTGTTTGATCAATCTTCAAAATTTGACTTCTAAGATTACTTGTGTGACTCTGAAATTATAAAGTTGCCTGTTTGAGCTTACAGATTTCATTTTAGAAACATTAATATTGAAACATTATTTATGATATAATGGAAAGACCATTGCAAGTAAATTGTTCCCTGTCGTTAAACTGAATTTTCTGCTCTGTAGGTGGCTGCTCTGCAGTGAACCAGCCTTATGGTGATAGATCATGCAACCCGCCATGCAGTAAACCTTACTCCTACTGCACTGAGGTAAGTTTCAGCTACCGAGACATTCCTGTTTAATGTTTTTGCTCTTCCATTTTGATCATGTAGTTTTCTGTAATACCAAATACTGATTTTTTGGGCTAAAATTAAAATCATTGCAAAAGATATAAAAATATTCATTTTTTTCGACCACTGTCCAGTCTGGAGTTTGTGCCTGTGAGGAAGGCTACACGGAGGTGATGACATCTGACAGTTTGCTGGACCAGTGTACTATGATCCCTGTGTTGGAGATCCCTTCAGTGGAGGATAAGAAAGCAGACGTGAAGACGAGCAGAGCCAGCAACCCAACCCAAGAGTCCGACAAGAAACAAGGGCGTGCAGGGAGAACATGGTTCCTTCAGCCCTTTGGACCAGGTCAGATAAAAATACACACTGTTGATCTCAGTCTGTAATTCACGGGAAAAGGTCTTTGACTATACATTTATATTTCTCTACCCAAAAAGTAGCATTAATTAAAATGCTTAGAATAATTATATGTATCAATTTTTACACAGTCAATCAGCAAAAATGTGTCAAAGCTATGTTGTTTATATAGTTGCATATTCTTTTTAAAAAAATATTCAGTACAAAAAGTTACTGATGTAATTATAAATGTGTTTTATATTCAGCGATGTATTCAAAATTCAACACTGAATATTCCAAGCTGTTGATAAACATTTTGTTAACGTAAACCTGCAAATGTAATTGAACGATATGAATATTGTACAATTATAAAACTGTATTTATCATTCATTCATGCTTAATCACTGGAAACTTTGTTCAACAACAATTTAATGCTCATGGCTGCATTTTAATGCTACAACTAAATCTTAAAATTGTTTTCTCAAATTATGGAGTGCTAACATTGAAAAGATCTTTGCAAATATGCTATTCTTCTTAACTAGTTTAAATGCATTGGCAGATCCCATGGTTTTCCTACTTATCTAATAATATGATTGCATGAAGCACTGACTGACTGGTGTAAAGATATAGTTTCTGAGCAAAACAACAGCCAATCTTGAAAAAAAAATGTTGGAACAAATCAGTGGCAGAAGGGAAAATCTAAAGGTCTGGAGTAGATTTTGTGGCACAGACTGTTAGAATAAAGCAAGTCATACCATCAGACAGTATTCCTGGCTCCATAGGCTGGGATTATCAAGTTATCACTGCATTGAATTATAATTTCAAAAAGAGCTGAATAACTATCTGTTTGGGAATAGAGTTGAATATTTCGATAGTGCATCTGAGCTGAACAATTATTCAGTTGAGCTGAGTTGAATAAAGGGACACAGTGCAACTAGGACTAGGGCAATGACCTCTATTAAAAGAAGGAGGCCAGGTTTCAATATTGGAGATGTGGATACCTCTTCTGGAGTTTTTGTTTGATTTCCTTTGGGGATTTTGGAATATCTATGCTGAGTTTCTTCCTGGTAGAGTGAGTGCAGGAGAGGTCTGGGAGACAGAATAGTTTTCACCTGGTTTGTAAAATTAATAGGCTGCATGAGCTGAATGATCTCTTCCTATTATGAGTAGTATGTTTATTTCCTCTCGAAGGTTCAGCCTCCTGCTGCAGCATTCCCATAATTGTTTGAGGAAGTCTGTTACTTTATCAGAATCTCTTCCTATGTTTCCATTAATCCCTGACTCTTAGCCAGCCATAGTTTGGTCCATTGACTGCAATTCATTCCAGATATCTGTGATCTCTGACCTTAAAGCTGTTTGAGATTTTGATCCAACCCAATGCTCAGTCATATCCGTTCCCATTTTCTGCAGCTCTTTCAATACTTATTGCACTGTGATCTTTTCCTTCCCATGCCAAACCTAATGAAATCTTCAAACCAGTCCATTGTAGTTTCACCCCATCTGCCACATCCTTTGCCCTTTATTTGCTGCTGTTTCTGCTCCCAAATATCACATTTCTTAAGATCACTGAGGTCTCATCTCCAGGTCATCATTGTCTTTCTTTAGCTCAAGTTTCTCTCGCAGCCATTCCACCACATCAGCCTCGTCAAAGGTGTAGTCTAGTTCCAAACTGATTTTGCTCAGTGTTTTGTTTTTGAACATTAGACCTAAACCAGTTAAAAATGAAACCAGGAAACATTTCTTCAGGCCAATAGCTGTGAGAAATAGATAGCATAAAATGTTTTGCATAAAATGGATTGCATAAAATGCACTTTAAATCATATCATATCCTGTTAAAGTACACTAAATGTGAAGATAAAAGGTTCAGTCATTTGTTCTTTGCTGTGATGCTACCAGAGCCACTTGATGGTCTCCAGCACAAACTTACTTGCATTAAATTTCAATAAAATAATCTTCAAAGGCATATTTTCTCATATGTAAAAAGCGTAATAAGAAACTACAAAAAACAAAACATTATAGTATAAAATAGTTGTAACATTTATATTATGACACGTTAATATGGCCCGTACAATTCCTACAAAATGATCAGATTCATAACACTGCAAGGTTTTATTTAATTAGCCTTCCTATAGTATAGGTGTTAATTGTTATTGTTTGTATGCATTTCTTGGTGCATCAAATTGGTATGACAACACTGAGAGCTCCACAAGAAGGGTATTGAGCATATCAGAGATACTTGTGTATATAGTGATCAATTCATGAGAAATAGCTTGATGTTGATTTTACAACATTAGACTCCATCACATTATCCCCTTCACAATAAAGGATCAAAACATTTAGCCAAAGCATCAGTCAATGATACCATACTGACCTCTGCTGGAAGCTGTTTGCAATGCTAGCACATTGATGCCCATCAATAGATATTCAGGGAACATACTCAAACACAATCTCCATGCACACCGCAAATGTAGAATCTACCAAATATAGAAATGATGGCATAAAGCAACTAATTTTCAAACCCCAGGTTTTTCTGATCAATAGTTTCTAGAAATGAGTATAGGATATTCAATAAACTAAAATGGATGTCTCATTATAGAATGCAAATCAAATTATTCACACAATGCGATGTCCTTTTTTAAAAAAAAGTCTTTGAAAGGCACAGATATCATTTTATGAATTGGTATCTGCATTATATTGGTTGACCAAATATTGGAATACTGTTGTTGAAATCTTTCAGAGGTACAATATCTTCGTAAGTTAGGAGCCCCAAGATAAAAGCATTATAATATTAGGATATAGCAATATATTCAAAAACACAATATGGGAGTGGACCCTATTGCTAATGTTTAGCAGTAACTCAAACCTTTATTCATTTTGATCTCTGAAACAATATTAGGTTTCTATATTAATTGTTATGATTTAACAAAGTATCTTTGCTTTATAGATGGGAAGCTGAAAACATGGGTTTATGGTGTGGCAGCAGGAGGTTTTGTCTTAATTGTCTTCATTGTTTCTATGATCTATCTAGCCTGGTAAGTTTGTGATGCTGTGTGTAGCTTAGATGTATAGCGATGTAGCCATTGTGTTGATATGTCTAACATGGGTGCTTTGCTTGCATGCAAACTGCTGAAACAGGTCCCCAAAAACATGTGAATAAGTACAAGGTTAGGGGACGTGTTGCTGTAAAGCTTATCTCTGCTTTGAAGGAATCAGCCTTGAACCTGCAGATTGTAAAAGACAAAAGTCTGCAGAATAAATACTCCAGCATTTATATTTGTATTGTGATATGAAGTTATGATCTAAAAATAAATCAGCTGCAAGCTTCATTTTGTAAATTGTCTAGTTAGTCTAGTGTAAATACTGAATCGGTCCAACATACTTTATTTTAAGTCAAAAACAGCTTCAGAAACTGGCTCCAGGTGCTTTGCCAGCCATGGTGAGAGAATATAAAGTTTGGTGCTGTTTCTTTAACCCTTGTCATGCCCATGTTCTAACCACTAATTGACTTACAAGCCTCTAACTTGTAACTGACTGACCAGTTTGAATGATATGGTAGAGGTATTGATTGTGCAGTGGAAGCCGCACTTCATTAACTTGAAGTTCTTAGCATTCATACAGGTTGATAATAATAATCCTTATTATTCCTTACAGAAAGCTGCTGGCACTTTACCCACAGGCGATTTATGATTCCAGTCTTTATCTTTCAGAGTCGATTAGTAAATCTTTTTCTAAGCATCTCCATTGGTTAAAGTGGCATGACAAAGCTGTTCTAATCACTGAATCTTGAAACACATTAAACTACCCAAAGAATGTTCTGTATTATTTGTAGACATGTGTTTGGTGTCTACCATTTAGGTCACGATTTAATCCCTTGATAAAAAAATTAAGGGGTCAAAATTGCTGTATTTCTAAATGCATACCATTCTTAATTACCCACATAAGGAAATGTACATAAATGCAGTTAAATCATGTCCTAAGCAAGTTTAGAATGAACAGCCCTGATTTTGGGAGAAGGCTTTCTCCCTCCAAGCACTCAGAATTGAATCACTGCTACCACTGTGTTTAATGCAATCTGAACAAGCAGCAGGAAAGCTTGCCAGACAGTACACTCAATGGAAAACTATGTAGATTTAGCTGTTAGGACTCCAGCAATACCCCAATGCACAACTCTGGATCTCCTAGCCCTGACTCCTGCCAGCCTGAGCCTAATACTCTCCGGAATTAGGTAAGCAGAATGAGTCCCTCCAGGGAGAGATTCCGTTCCAATAAACATCACTGGGCTCCATGTATAGGTCAGATACATGGAATTCTCAGTTTGGTTTGGATACTCTTAAGCATGGCAATAGGTTTCTGCATGCGTTAGACACCCAGCTGACCAAAAAATAAATGCTTTTACAATACCACAATAGAAATTTATATTTATATAGTGCTTTTCACGTTAGCTGGACAAAGCACTTGGCACTGCTGGCTCGGCACCTGAACTGGTGGTGGGAACTGAGGGTGGTGGGGAGGGGGAAAATGACTGAAGGCACAGTCAGAGAGGTACTTCTTGAGATGTACCTTGAAAGAAAAGGGAGGTCGCCAGTCGGAAGCACGCCCACCCGCCCACCAATAGTTGGTTGGATAAGGTGGGTGGACATGAAGCAGGCTGGTGCTGACTGAGGGAGGAGAGTGGCTGGGTCAGTAGGGATTTTAATTTACAGTTATCCTAGGGCTACTCTCTGGGCATTAAGCAAAAAATGTGTTTAATTCGACCAGGCAGGGAGAGTGTGGATTTTGCATTTCTTCTCCAGATAGTGACCTAAAAATAATTCTACAGGTAAAACATTGAAGTTAAAATGAGTTCTAGGTTCAATGAGTCAAGAAAATATTCCCTGTTAATCATATAAACAATGATGGCAGTAAATCAATTCTGACAGTGTAGAATGGTGAGAAAACATTCTCTAAAGTCAGCGCCTGTTGTTAAAGACAGGTTAAGGGCACATTTATACCACAGTTTCTGTACTCTCCCCTCATGACTGGAGTTGATAACTAAGGAAACTGATTTAGAAATACAACAGTTTCAAACCCTGTGTTTTTTTCAAAAGTTGTCTCTATCAGAATGAGAATTGAAAGTTTTGCTGAACATAAGTTTCCTCTTTGGTGTTGATGAATATCTATAATCAGATATAGCCTGAGGTAGATGCGCCCTTCAAACTGCCTAAATTAACTGCCTTGACTCCAAACCTCAGAAGTAAATGACTTTTGCATTAAAGTAACACTTCTATTTTTTTTAATAGTGCTGCTGTGTAAAATAGATAGTTTGTGAAAGACCCACATTAAAAATTGTTCACTCGTGAATTTTTTAACAGCTTTCTGATGTGGCAGATCAAAGTGAAAGTACTGCAGTTGCCTTGGGTGCAAGTCACCAGCCATTTTGTAAAACCTATTGCATTTTCTTTAACTGAGCACATCTGAATAGTGATATTTACTGAAATACAACAACAAATTACATTTGTATAGCACATTTCATGTAGGGAGAGATGTCCCAAGATGCTGGACAGTCAGGGCTTTGGACAAGAGCTGTGGGTTGAGATCAGAAAGGGTGGAGAACATGGAGGTAGGGTCTAATTTGTGAAATTCGCACAAGGGATGGAATGTGCTATCTGGAGCCTCTACAATTTGCCTGAGACCAAATTGGGCTTTTAGAGGTACTAGGGAGGGAGGAAGGATCAAAGAGTGGAATAAATGGCTGTTGGGAGATGGCATTTTTCATGCTTTGAGACGTCCTCCCAATGTGAAAGGCACTAAATAAATGTTAATTGTGTTGTGCTCATAAGAGTTTAAATGATTTACGTCCATTGTAGAGGATTGTATCGTTGAAACCATTTTAACTACTGTATGTGCCTTTATTCATTCAAACTAATCCAAATCTCTCCTCTCCTTCCTCTATAGCAAAAAGCCCAAGAAACCACAGAGAAAACAAAACAACAAGCTGAAGCCTTTAACCTTGGCCTACGATGGAGATGCTGACATGTAATCTCTGTATTGCTTAAAGAAACTTTCCCAGTCTTTCCTCATTAATGTAAGATATAACGTGCAGTAAAGTATGTCCCATCTACAGTCATTTGGGGAATTTTGTGACACGTTTGTCAGATTCTGCAGCACAGTGACATTTAACAGGAACAAGGATGGAAAAATGCACAAGGAAATGTCATTCTCAGAAAAACAAAGGTCTGGAGATGTACCAGCTGCCTATTTGTAACAATTGAAGCCTTTGAAATGATGCAACATGACTCTCCACCCTGCAAACACAAAGAGCTTTTCTTTTATCTGGCCAGGACATTATGTACAAAATTCCATTATATTTCAGAAGTAGAAATGAAGTTCTTATTAAATTGTCTTTTGTCTAACAACTGCACAATCCACCCAAGAGGCCCACGAACCTATGAGCCTATGTGGGAAGGTTCTCCTCTTTCTTACTTTCACTGCGCTAGACTGGAAGACGGAGAATGGTTTGCAGACACAATGCAAAAAGAACCACTATGATGCGTTGATGATTCAAAATGAGCAGCCCAAGATTTTCCTAGCAAAAGTTCCCTAAAACCACTTTGCAGCAGATTACAGGTATAGCAGTTCACAATAACACATATGTGCTTGGCAACAAGTCAACAGTTTAAACAAGTGGGACAGATGAATTCTAGACAATTCTTGCACCACCTCGGTCCTCTGAAACTGAATTGTGCAATAGTAAGCAATAGAAATCAAGAAGCATTCATCTAAGAAATTGAGCTCTTAACTAAAAGCTTAAACCGTCTCTTTTTAATCTTTCCATGCTTTACCTACGGACCTGAATACTGAATTAGCAAACAACAAGATAACCAGTTACTCCAAAACACTTACTGCTGCTGAAAGCGCTTGTACCTAATTATAGTTACAAAATATGGCACCATATTATTCTACCTAAGTAAAACCTTTCCAAATGGCCTATGGCCTATTAACACTTTTTCATTGTGAGGCACCCTTTTGCACTATATTAGTGCTGCATGATATGCACTTCGCCCACAAATATACAGTGAATTCACTTTACAGTATATTCCGTGAAGCGCTTTGAGACGTCTAAAAGACATGAAAAGCGCTATATTATTATTTTTATTATAACCAGTTATCACCTTAGAAGATAGTCTCTTGTGAACTAAAGTGTCTCGCTTCAGTAGTGTAAGATAGATAGTTTGAAAGGGAGCAAACTAATATTGTTTACTCATGGATTACTGCTTTGTACTGTGGCGGAATGAAATCAGAGTAATTTTAGTCGGTGTGTGTGTATATATATATATATAGATATATATATAATATATCACACTAGCTATTTTGTAAAAGGTCTCTTTGTGGTCAGTGCAGTTGCAGTATTTATAGGTGTCTAGTCAGACTCTCTGAAAAATGTAATTGTTGTTCTAATATTATGTAATTATGTTATCCAGAAAGCAACAAAAGCTGTTTTTGCTAATTAAACTTTTTTTTGCACATTTTCATTGCTCCTTTAAAAGGAACAAAGGACTTATTGGCATCACAGTTTGGTTATTTGTTACAATCACATACATTCAGTATGACAAAGAGGGAAGACAGCAGTCAACAGATGCAAAAGTCAGAAATGATGGTTCAATACTTGTAACTGGGTCAAATGGAGGAAATCTAGCGAGGGAGGGAGGAGTCAAAATTGTATGTGTGATTGAAGGGAGGTAATTTCAGAACAAATCTGCAGAAACACTACTTCAGTGAGCAGATAAACTTATGGAATAGGCTACCTAAGGAGATAGTGGAGCAGAAAATGGTGTTTGTTTCAAGAACAATTTGGTTAGATTTCTGCTAGAAAATAATATCTTGGGATACAGTATATAGTTTGGGTCACGACATGTCAAGCGACTGCCAGGATGGTGGAAGGTGAACTAGATGGACCTTGGTCTTCTTTCACCTAGTAAATTCTTATGTTTTTATGTATGATGTTATCAGCAGTGATAATCATCACATCAACCAATATAAAATTACATTCAATAATAATCACTAAGAGTCAATAATTATCACTAACCTTAGACTGAAACGTTTATTTCTCCCTTCCCCCACCCCAGCGCTCCGATGATGTTAATGGTAACTTAACTGTTTTGACTGCCAATGTGATAATATCCCATGCTGCGATTTTTGACCCCTGTGTGATGCATTGCAACACAATAGAACAGTGATTCTCCAACCAGAACGGGAACCATTTCCATTTGGAAATTCAGGTAACTTCACATTGCAGTACTCCATTGTGTTTCTTCAGAACTGCTATTAAAATAATTAACTGTACAGACCTTCTATTAAAGTGTGTGAAAGCACTGATTTATTGTAATGCAGTAATAAAAACAAAACTGGTTTTGTACTTTTGTCAAAATGCTATGACTCTGTATTTTCAAGTATGTAATTGTAGCCAAGGAATGTTTGAAGGGGTCAGGCTGAGCAGATAACTGGTCAGTTTGAATAATAATTAAATAAATGACTTTCCACTGCACTTTTTTTCAGGTAAACTCATTTCAGCACAAATTTAATATGTATGTGAGGGGAATGCACTTACATTTACCAATATTGAATTACTGGCATTTTCTGAACATTTTAATTTGTTTGAAACATCGTGTTTTGTCACTGTGACACAAGGAAAACTCTGCTCTGAAGATATTAGAATGAAATACTATGAACATGGTATTCAAGCGAGAAAAGATTCACAGTATTCACTACAGCTCAGTTTAATGGAACAATTTATTGACCTCTAGGTCCACCAATATTACACGCCTGGAAAACAGCAATTGAAGGAACAACAACAAGCTTACATTTGTATAGCGCCTTTCACATCTGGAGGATGTCCCAAGGCGCTGAAAAGCCTGAAATAGTCAGAACACAAGCAGAATTATGTAATTTTACAGTATTCGGACACTTAAAGGAGATTGCTATGAGGGAAAGCTATACTTATGTAAAATGATGTGTCCTTGTATCCTTGAATGCAAGGAATCGAATGAATCAGTTTAACAATCTGAAACTCCAAACTGCAAGGAATCTGGGAAGTTTGCTTCTGCGGTCGAAACATTGCAATAGCACAATGTGATTGAGTCAGTGAGTTGATATTATGCCCGTGTTTCTTATCTTGTTTCATACCAGAAAGGGCAAGAGAATTATTGATGAGGTATGACCACTTATAAAAATACCCTTTTCTGTTGCAGTGAAGTGGTTTATCCATTACTTGCATGTATTTGAATAGAGGTGGCAGATGCCAAAATAATGTGCTTATTTTTCATTCCAATGTGTTATTGTTAATTTGTAGATAATTTGTGCAATGTACTTGTTTATTTTTTAAACTATGTAATTTTTTTTAATTAAAGCAATGTTTATGTAAAACCTCTAAAATTTTGTGTGGGGAAATACATTGAGTAATAATTATATTTACTAAAAAATGTGGGACATGCTTTATAGGAGGTTATTGTTTGATAACATTTATTCTACCTGAAATATTAAATTAAAAAATTGATCCTTTTTTATTAAACATTTACATTTATCCTAGGACCATATGTAACACTTCGTTTGTAGAGCGTTGTATCTGTATGGCCTAAAGATACACTGCTGGAGGTCATTTATTCCCCTCAGCATTGTCTTTCTTTCCTCTAAAGACCAAATAACCATTACATAAGCTTATATCGAAATCTCATGCACTAACCATAATAATAATGATAATCCTTGCATTTGATATAATGCTTTTCACGTCTTCTAGATGTCTCAAAGCACTTCACAGAATATACTGAAAAGTGAATTGACTATATACAGCCAATTGCGCACAGCAGTGTCCCACAGACAGCTGTGGATTGAAAATGACCAATTTATTATTGTTTTGTTTTGGAGGGATTATTATTAGGCTCTGTGTGGAGTAAGGAAACTTGCCCAAGGTTTCACCCTCTGCCTGGAATTGAACTCAGGTCTCTCACTTGCAAAGCGAGTGCTCTAACCACTGAGCTACAGGATTCCATGCAAAAATGACCAACTTCTGGGTGATTAGGTTGCCTTCCATACCACGTTCTGCTTTGGACATGTTTACCCAGGGAGTGAGCTGGCGAGTTGTGTACATCTGCAGTGAAACCTAATATTGTGCCTTGTTCTGGATCCCAACCACTGCTTTATCACAGAGCTCCACTGTACCATGTCATTATGTATGTGTTTCCCCTGTGAAGTAGACATATACTGGGCCAGGCAAACAGTATCCTAGCACTAAACAGCAGAAATAAATAGAAGGGGGATGGAATATGTGTTGTGAAATTATCACTAATAATAAATGATTACATATAATAATAATTGTTACTAATCCTAACATTTGATATAGTGCCTTTCATGTCAGGAGGCCATCTCAAAAATGCTTTACAGGAAATAATGTAAAGTGTAGTGACTTTGTGGGCGATCACACTTCATGATCAAGAAGTATGATCCAAACTTATCTTTAGTCATCAACAGGTTTGGGATTGAACACTCTCTATCTCAAATTGATCATTCCCTTTTTGTTTGTGGGATGTTGCTGCAGGCAAATTGGCTGTCACTTCCTCTAAAATAAACAGTTGCTACACATCCCCATTTTCCCTCTCCTCTGGAATTCCTTCAAGGCCCATCTCAACACCTTCATCTTTGACTGTGCTTTCTGTCATCTTCCCACCCTCTCCCCACCCCCGCCCTTGTGTGCAAGCCCTTGACTCCCCAGATCATTGGAACATCCTCCCCATTTCCAAGGTACTATATAAATGCAATCTGTTGTTGTCGTTCACAGAAAACTGTGAGGCTTTTCGACATGATAAGACATTTTACCAAACGCAAGGAATATTTTTATTTGTTGTCTGTCTGCTGGGTTATCCCAGGTATTAAGATTCATTTTGTTGAAACTCATTTGTTAATTCTAGTCCGGACTTCATCTGTTTGAAACAATTTTCAGCAAATCATCTTCTATATTTCTATCTGTTCAGAGATGGAATTCATTCCTGCAAACATAAATTATCTCCAAATGTACAAATTTTCAAGAAGCAATTTAAATAATTTTACACCAAGAACCATATTGCATTTACAGATGCAGAGCAATTTCTGATACAATATTATATTGTTCTCATTTAAATTGCCTGATGTTTCTTTTCATTGTTTTTTATATTATCCTGCCAACAAGATAGACCAGTCTGATGCACAAATAGTTTACCTTGTGTCTCAATATTTCTAGTGCAATGAAAACATAGTTATTTTTCAGAATCCAGCCTGAGTGAAATAGTAATATTACGTTAGTCAAAAATAGGTCAGTTCTAAATTAAATAGCTACCAGTTTATTTCTGGTTTTATTTTTCATTTCATTTGTTCATTCTATAAATATTTATAAACTCAAATCTTATTTTTTTTCAATGAAGAAGATGTATTTCTCTTTTATGCGTCATAGCTATTTTCTTGAAATCTTAATATTGCCCACAGAATTAAATTGTCAACTTTTATTTTTCTATGAGGAATTTGTTAAGGAATTATTGATCTGTACTTTTGTTTGTTATTTGATGGTATAATTTTCTGTTATATTATAACATGTTATATGTTATCTCCTTTTCAGTCAGTTTTGCTCATATTCCATGTTCTAAAACAATCAATAATTTTCCAATTGCACACTGTTTTAGGACAAGTACCATATTTTTAAGATTCAACAAAGCAATGGCAAAGACAGCACATCTAGCAGTGTGATTTATAATGGAGGAAATGTAAAGTTCCAGATAAACTAAATGTATCTAAGGTTCTAAATTATACGATAACAGCTTGCATTTATAAAGTGCCCTTCAGGTTGGATCATCTCGGAGCGCTGTACAGTGGCGGGAGTGGGTGTCGGGTGGGTGTCGAGAAAGAGAAAAGGGAGCGGCGCAGTAAGCATTTACATTTATATAATGCCTTTCACATCAGGAGCATGTCTCAAAATGCTTCACACAGCTAACTGCGAGCCTGAGTTGGTGAGGGGAGGGAAAGGAAAATAATGGTCAAAGAGGTCATCTTTAAACTAGCTTTAAAGCAAATGA